CCTCTTCTTCCCATCTATTACCTCTCCCTGCTATCCTTTATTCCATCTATTACCTCTCACTGCTATCCTTTATTCCTACCCAGACTCCTCTTCTTCCCATCTATTACCTCTCCCTGCTATCCTTTATTCCATCTATTACCTCTCACTGCTATCCTTTATTCCTACCCAGACTCCTCTTCTTCCCATCTATTACCTCTCCCTGCTATCCTTTATTCCATCTATGACCTCTCCCTGCTATCCTTTATTCCTACCCAGTCTCCTCTTCTTCCCATCTATTACCTCTCACTGCTATCCTTTATTCCTACCCAGTCTCCTCTTCTTCCCATATATTACCTTTCCCTGCTATCCTTTATTCCATCTATTACCTCTCACTGCTATCCTTTATTCCTACCCAGACTCCTCTTCTTCCCATCTATTACCTCTTCCTGCTATCCTTTATTCCATCTATTACCTCTCCCTGCTATCCTTTATTCCTACCCAGTCTCCTCTTCTTCCCATCTATTACCTCTCACTGCTATCCTTTATTCCATCTATTACCTCTCCCTGCTATCCTTTATTCCTACCCAGTCTCCTCTTCTTCCCATCTATTACCTCTCACTGCTATCCTTTATTCCTACCCAGTCTCCTCTTCTTCCCATCTATTACCTCTCACTGTTATCCTTTATTCCTACCCAGTCTCCTCTTCTTGCCATCTATTACCTCTCCCTGCTATCCTTTATTCCATCTATTACCTCTCCCTGCTATCCTTTATTCCATCTATTACCTCTCCCTGCTATCCTTTATTCCTACCCAGTCTCCTCTTCTTCCCATCTATTACCTCTCACTGCTATCCTTTATTCCTACCCAGTCTCCTCTTCTTCCCATCTATTACCTCTCACTGCTATCCTTTATTCCTACCCAGTCTCCTCTTCTTCCCATCTATTACCTCTCACTGCTATCCTTTATTCCTACCCAGACTCCTCTTCTTCCCATCTATTACCTCTCCCTGCTATCCTTTATTCCATCTATTACCTCTCACTGCTATCCTTTATTCCTACCCAGTCCCCTCTTCTTCCCATCTATTACCTCTCCCTGCTATCCTTTATTCCTACCCAGTCTCCTCTTCTTTCCATCTATTACCTCTCCCTGCTATCCTTTATTCCTACCCAGTCTCCTCTTCTTACCATCTATTACCTCACCATGCTATCCTTTATTCCTACCCAGTCTCCTCTTCTTTCCATCTATTACCTCTCCCTGCTATCCTTTATTCCTACCCAGTCTCCTCTTCTTTCCATCTATTACCTCTCCCTGCTATCCTTTATTCCTACCCAGTCTCCTCTTCTTTCCATCTATTACCTCTCCCTGGTATCCTATATTCCTACCCAGTCTCCTTTTCTTTCCATCTATTACCTCTCACTGCTATCCTTTATTCCTACCCAGACTCCTCTTCTTCCCATCTATTACCTCTCACTGCTATCCTTTATTCCTACCCAGACTCCTCTTCTTCCCATCTATTACTTCTCCCTGCTATACTTTATTCCATCTATGACCTCTCCCTGCTATCCTTTATTCCTACCCAGTCTCCTCTTCTTCCCATCTATTACCTCTCACTGCTATCCTTTATTCCTACCCAGTCTCCTCTTCTTTCCATCTATTACCTCTCCCTGGTATCCTATATTCCTACCCAGTCTCGTCTTCTTTCCAACTATTACCTCTCCCTGCTATCCTTTATTTCTACCCAGTCTCCTCTTCTTTCCATCTATTACCTCTCCCTGCTATCCTTTATTCCTACCCAGTCTCCTCTTCTTCCCATCTATTACCTCTCACTGCTATCCTTTATTCCTACCCAGTCTCCTCTTCTTTCCATCTATTACCTCTCCCTGGTATCCTATATTCCTACCCAGTCTCCTCTTCTTTCCATCTATTACCTCTCACTGCTATCCTTTATTCCATCTATGACCTCTCCCTGCTATCCTTTATTCCTACCCAGTCTCCTCTTCTTCCCATCTATTACCTCTCACTGCTATCCTTTATTCCATCTATTACCTCTCCCTGCTATCCTTTATTCCTACCCAGTCTCCTCTTCTTCCCATCTATTACCTCTCACTGCTATCCTTTATTCCATCTATGACCTCTCCCTGCTATCCTTTATTCCTACCCAGTCTCCTCTTCTTCCCATCTATTACCTCTCACTGCTATCCTTTATTCCTACCCAGTCTCCTCTTCTTCCCATCTATTACCTCTCCCTGCTATCCTTTATTCCATCTATTACCTCTCACTGCTATCCTTTATTCCTACCCAGACTCCTCTTCTTCCCATCTATTACCTCTCCCTGCTATCCTTTATTCCATCTATTACCTCTCACTGCTATCCTTTATTCCTACCCAGACTCCTCTTCTTCCCATCTATTACCTCTCCCTGCTATCCTTTATTCCATCTATGACCTCTCCCTGCTATCCTTTATTCCTACCCAGTCTCCTCTTCTTCCCATCTATTACCTCTCACTGCTATCCTTTATTCCTACCCAGTCTCCTCTTCTTTCCATATATTACCTTTCCCTGCTATCCTTTATTCCATCTATTACCTCTCACTGCTATCCTTTATTCCTACCCAGACTCCTCTTCTTCCCATCTATTACCTCTTCCTGCTATCCTTTATTCCATCTATTACCTCTCCCTGCTATCCTTTATTCCTACCCAGTCTCCTCTTCTTCCCATCTATTACCTCTCACTGCTATCCTTTATTCCATCTATTACCTCTCCCTGCTATCCTTTATTCCTACCCAGTCTCCTCTTCTTCCCATCTATTACCTCTCACTGCTATCCTTTATTCCTACCCAGTCTCCTCTTCTTCCCATCTATTACCTCTCACTGTTATCCTTTATTCCTACCCAGTCTCCTCTTCTTGCCATCTATTACCTCTCCCTGCTATCCTTTATTCCATCTATTACCTCTCCCTGCTATCCTTTATTCCATCTATTACCTCTCCCTGCTATCCTTTATTCCTACCCAGTCTCCTCTTCTTCCCATCTATTACCTCTCACTGCTATCCTTTATTCCTACCCAGTCTCCTCTTCTTCCCATCTATTACCTCTCACTGCTATCCTTTATTCCTACCCAGTCTCCTCTTCTTCCCATCTATTACCTCTCACTGCTATCCTTTATTCCTACCCAGACTCCTCTTCTTCCCATCTATTACCTCTCCCTGCTATAGCTACAGTCCCATATACGTCCCGGACCGTCCCGGACCATCCCGGACCCCATCCGGGGTGATCCGGGATTCGGTCCGTGTTGACACCGTGTTGGCACCGGGGTGGTCCTGGATGGTCCTGGATGGTCCTGGATGGTCCTGGGCGGTCCGGGAGTCGACCCCGGATGTTTTTGACGGTCAAAAACGGCCGGGGTGGTCCGGGACGGTCCGGGACAATAGTTTGATCCGGGGTGATCCGTGTAGCCACCGTGCTGGGTCCGGGGTCATCCGTAGTGGCGCCGGGGCGGTCCGTGTTGATCCGTGGCAGTCCGGGAGTGAGTTATTGACCGCCCAGGACCATCCAGGACCATCCAGGACCATCCAGGACCACCCCGGTGCCAACACGGTGTCAACACGGACCGAATCCCGGATCACCCCGGATGGGGTCCGGGATGGTCCGGGACGGTCCGGGACGTATATGGGACTGTAGCTTTTAAAGCATCACACTTTTTTGAACAAAACATCCCGGACCATCCCGGATCACCCCAGACCATGGTCCGGGATGGTCCGGAGTGGTCCGTGCTCGTCCGTGCTGGTCCGGCTTTATATGGGACTGGGGCTTATCCTTTATTCCATCTATTACCTCTCACTGCTATCCTTTATTCCTACCCAGTCCCCTCTTCTTCCCATCTATTACCTCTCCCTGCTATCCTTTATTCCTACCCAGTCTCCTCTTCTTTCCATCTATTACCTCTCCCTGCTATCCTTTATTCCTACCCAGTCTCCTCTTCTTACCATCTATTACCTCACCATGCTATCCTTTATTCCTACCCAGTCTCCTCTTCTTTCCATCTATTACCTCTCCCTGCTATCCTTTATTCCTACCCAGTCTCCTCTTCTTTCCATCTATTACCTCTCCCTGCTATCCTTTATTCCTACCCAGTCTCCTCTTCTTTCCATCTATTACCTCTCCCTGGTATCCTATATTCCTACCCAGTCTCCTCTTCTTTCCATCTATTACCTCTCACTGCTATCCTTTATTCCTACCCAGACTCCTCTTCTTTCCATCTATTACCTCTCACTGCTATCCTTTATTCCTACCCAGTCTCCTCTTCTTTCCATCTATTACCTCTCACTGCTATCCTTTATTCCTACCCAGACTCCTCTTCTTCCCATCTATTACCTCACCCTGCTATCCTTTATTCCTACCCAGTCTCCTCTTCTTTCCATCTATTACCTCTCCCTGGTATCCTATATTCCTACCCAGTCTCGTCTTCTTTCCAACTATTACCTCTCCCTGCTATCCTTTATTTCTACCCAGTCTCCTCTTCTTTCAATCTATTACCTCTCCCTGCTATCCTTTATTCCTACCCAGTCTCCTCTTCTTTCCATCTATTACCTCTCCCTGCTATCCTTTATTCCTACCCAGTCTCCTCTTCTTTCCATCTATTACCTCTCCCTGCTATCCTTAATTATTATCCAGTCGCCTCGTCTTTCCATTTATTTCCTGTCTCTGACATCATTTATTCCTACCCAGTATGCTTCCTATTCCTTCATATATCTATCTATACATATATTTCGCCCTTACAGATGTTTACAAGTCAAGGCAGGCATTGATTAACAACTAAATGACAAAAGGTCACTGTCCTCCTCACTGATTAAGAGGGGGTTGACAAGGAAGTTGGGAAAGTGAGAGAGAGAGAGAGAGAGAGAGAAAAAGAGTCAACGCAAGAAAGTGAGAGAGAAAGAGAGAGAGAGAGAGAGAGAGAGAAAAAGAGTCAACGCAAGAAAGTGAGAGAGAAAGAGAGAGAGAGAGAGAAAGGGGGGGGGGGGATGGGGTAGTCTCTTAAAAGCACCCTTTTTCATTTCGAATCTTTTTTATTGCATACATTGATGATTTTATAATTATGTGCGGAGGAATTTAATTCATGATTGGTGTCATAATAAAACCAAAGAGTTATTTGCTTAGTTTGGACTTTAAAAACACTAAACAGGAGTGAAAATATAAATAAATACTCTGGAGACATTTTTATCAGTGGGATACTGACCTGTACTCCACTCCCGTCCTCCTACATTTCTCTTTTTCTCTCTTCTGTTACTAAAATTTCCCAGACAGGTTTTGACAGATTTTATCTAAGATATATGACATGCTGCCCCCCCCCCCCCCCCAGCTGTAACCAGGGGGAAAGGGCTTGTATAGTCTGCCAATTCAGACTTCATGCCACTTGGTCATATAATTCATCAGCAGAATAAATGAAAACTGAAAACAAGCAGCTATTTGCTTCTGAAACATAAGCTGGCAAAACATTATTTTGCAAATGAGAAGAGGTAACTTGTCATCTGAAAATTTCCATTTAGAGAAAGAGCGAGATCGTACTTGAGTTGTAGTTGTTTTAAAAATGGACGTCTAGCCTCTCAAACTAGACATGTAAAAGGTTTACAATCGGGTGGTTTGTGTTCCACTTTTTTGCCAAAATGGCATGGGGTTTGTTCAGCATTTTTGTGAAAAAAAGTGAAAATATTTGAATTGCCTAATATCCTCAAAATATATTTCCCTACTCACCATTAGATCGGTCATGACCCAATCTGGCTACCAAAGAGGCAAAGGGGGGAATTAAGAACAAATTCAAAAAACGCAACTTTTTTGCTATTAACTTGTGAAATATTCAAATTGCCTAATATCCTCAACACAGGTTTTGTAAATCCATGGTTCCAACAAGGTAATATGTTGAATAATTTGTATTTCCAAATTCAGAATGAGCAAAGCAGTATGGCAATTATATTTAGACAACGGTTCTTCATCAGCAGATGGGATGCGCACAGCAAAGTTGAGAAGTGCATGCATAGTCGAAAGTTGTGCGTACGTGCATTCTGTGGCGCTATCTAGTCGGGTGAACAACCTTTGTATACAAATTACAATGTGTGCGAACTTGTAGACTCACGTCAGTCAATCAGCGATTTCATTTCATTACATATAGAAAGAAAAATAGAAATGCTCATACCTGTACATCTCACTCACTCACATCAATGCACACATTTTTATTTATGTTTTGAAGATAGACTAAACATATGAGAATCTCATGTTTTACAAGAGTACATTTCCTGAGGAAAGCGATATATTACCACGTGATATCAACACATCACCTGCACCAACGCATGGACCATCTTAATAACGTTACTCAATCAGTTTACACATGAATTTGCTCACGCACGTTACAGCGCGATACGCTGTCTACTTTATTTCGAGCAATACTGTATACCCATACTTCATTCCTGGCCGACTCTTACCTGTATGAGTGAGTTTATGCTTCTTTAAACTGGACATCTCAGCAAACCTCTGAGTGCATCCATCAAAGTCACAATCAAATGGTCTTTCTCCTAAAACACAGAATCACAATCAAATAGATATAGCTTCTGAATACATTGGCATATTTTCACAAGTTATCAAACACAAGTATCTGAATGGTCCATAACAGGTATTTAAACAAGTCACATAATTATTGGCAATGAAAATTGGAGGATATTAGAATCATATTGCTTAATGTTGCAATCAATTTAGCACTCATTAAAAAATAGAAATTATAATTTTGCATCATTTATTCTGTACATTATGGTACCAACAACTCGGCCTTCAATTCAATATTGACCAACATGGATAGACATTAAAATGCAAAAGCTGAATTTGGTTATCAAATATAAAATCATCACTATCATCATCATCAACATAATCATCATCATTATCATTATCATCATCATCATCATTATCATTATCATCATCATCATCATCATCATCATCATCAACATAATCAGACTTAGAATCATCATCTTCATTACCAGTGTGAATCCTGAAATGGTTCTTGAGGTTTCCCTGCGTAGTGAAGCTCTTATCGCAGCCATCGTGAGTGCACTTGAAAGGTTTGGTCCCAGTGTGAATCCTGCTGTGTACATTCAATGCCTGGACTGTAAAGAACGTCTTCCCACAACCCTCGATGCCACAGGGGTAAGGGCGGTCATTGCTAGAGTGAAGACAGTGTTAACACATAAAAAAGGTATCCTCTATTTGGTAATCTAACATCTGCCTAAAATTTGTAGGTTGAGGATTTGGGTTGCGCTTGGGATTTACTATGTAGGATAAGAGTTTAAGGTATAGTGATAAAAATGACCAAGGAGGTATGGTTGGATGTACTAAAGCAGCATTTGTTTCAGCTGTATTTTGGCAATTGAGATATTAAAAAGAATTATCCAATCCTATCCAATCCATATCCAATTTTGATAGGTTCAAACTTAAACAGCTATTCCTGTTATCTCTCAATATAGGTCCTGCAAAGGACACACCCAAATTCAACATGGAGTCTTATGTGTACAAGAATCTCCTTTCTCAGAGCCCTCCAAAATATGTCTTTATCTCTACCAACATACCAAGGAGCTAACACTCCTTCACTTTTCATTCTAACTCAAAAGTATTCAAACAATGTTAGAATGTCCAAATAACAATGAAGCTTTACACTAGTTGCAGACCTACACCTGAATGGTATACACACATATTCAATTCAACCACTGCACTGCACCTTGTGTAAGCCATGACTTAAACAATGGTAAACACTTCAATGAGCATGTATGGGCATGAATATATAAATGAAAGTACATGGACAGTGTATGCAGAGAAGGTATGCATTAACCTGCATAAACACATGTAATCATCATTACAGTAAGAAAAATCTCTCAAAAGCTTGCATTTCCTTGAGAGATGTCCATGATTACGTAAGTCAGAGTTGTGCAGATAACCACTAACCTTTATACTAGCTACAATCTGTATGTAGAACATTCACCAATGGAATGCATACAAGGATTTCTTCATAACAGACCATTTTTGTAATACATATAAACGGTGGATACTCTCTCATAACTTATTGTGGTGTAATAATTCAGATATTTCAAGCAACTGAGCAATAGACCTCATGCAAGTGTCAAACCCCTGGTTACCAACTATCTGATTCACCTGCTATGCTAGATGACATCTCTATGAATGAAAATTCACTTTGCATACATTGGTTGTTGATATGTTTGGCCAAGAAGTTTTGAGAGATGGAGTCCTATCTAGCTCATTCCCTTTGTACCATCTTCGATGCCATATGTCAGGCATGTGCTTAACTGGACCTTCCCTGCAGATACGTAGACAAAGGATTCCTGCCTAGCTGCAAACTATCGGGCCACTTTCAAAGGGAAAAAATGCTTTTGTAATGCTAATTACTTTTCGCTACCACTCGTCTGATAATACGAGCAGTAGGCCTACACAGTGATTAGTACCTTTTACAGGAGGCAAGCGAAAGAAAATGTAGCAAAATTTCTCGACTGGGCATGTATGGGCACTAATCTGACATATAACATCATGAAGAACTGTACACGAACAAATTCACTTTTTATTTTTGTGAGCTGCAAGTAATCAGAAAAAGTGTCAAATTGCAGGTTTTAGGACTGTACATTTTTACGATTTTTCACAAATTAAAGCTGCTATCATACAATGTAAGTAAATTTCTTGACACAATTAGGCTTTTGTATTCATATTTTATCATCTGTTCGATTTTCCCCTTGTTAGTTCAAATAAAAAGTGAAATATTAAGGATATTTCTTCGTGACAATCACTACTCAAGCTTTCCAATGATATTGGCAGCTTCGAACCTCGGACATCAAAGGGAACAGCACACCAGTAGATTCTATTGCGCAACAACTTAAAACTCCTTGGTTTGGCAAGCCTCTGGCAAACTTTTCAGAAGTCAAGAGAAACTTTTGTTTAAAAATCATGCTTTAAATTATTAAACAAAATTTCTTCAAATGATATTTTTCTATAACACAGTTAATCTACACAACATCTAATTAATAGAATTTATAAAGTGAAATTTACATACCGTATTTGCTGGCGTAAAGGCCGCAGTATTTTTGGAAGAGAAAATATCAAAAAGTCGGGGTGTGGCCTTTGCGGCGAAAGAGTAAAAAAAAAGAAAAAAGACTGAAGTCAAAACCAGCACGAATTTGCACATATGGGACTACGAACGGTACAATGACTATACCACTATGGTACAGGACATTTCCACACATCTTACCGACAATTTTATCTTGCAATGTTGACATGAAGATGAAAATAACTTCCTAAAACAACATTTGCCGATATATCTTGATAGTTCGTGCCAATGCATTACAAAAGTAAAGGAAGGGACCGTTCAACCAGGAAGCTGTAATGAATGGAGATACCGTCTCGAAAGAATTTTCCGAGGGAAAATTATTCAAGATTAACCTGGCTTAACAAAAAGAAATGTAACCCTCTCCAGCCATCATTTCCATCAACAGCTGTCCATATCAATGCACAGTCCCTCTCTGGCATTCCAAATAGTACGAAATGTTACGCAACGCCATCTGCTTCCCTAAGTTCTCTATTCACTCGTTTGCAAAAATATGCAAGCATCGGGCTTTGAAGCCATGCGTGGCACCGACAAATTAAGTCATGTTCATGAAAGATGTATTTAGCTATAACATATAAAATGCAGAATTCACAACATTATGACCAATGCAACTTTCTATTAGTCATCAAATGCGTTTTTCGTTCTCGGATAGCTCTACTGAAGACATGGTCATTTTAACCAGCGAAATCGACCAAGGAAATCATGAGTTAGAGCGAATGAAAGATTTTCATAATCATGATTTTCTCATCTAATTATTGACATTTTCCGAAAATTTCCGAAATTTGTACATAGCTAGGAAGGTAGTCCAAAGGATTATCTTCCTAAAGAACTAAATGAAATTGTTTTATATGTTTGCGCATTTATTGATTTAGAGCTAGAAGTTGTCAAGTTAGCACCACTATTCACCCAAAGTACGGGCCGGCAAAGCAAAAGCCGCCGTGATCGCTGGGCTGGGCTGTGTGTGGAAAGGGAGGACTTAGTGCTACTAGAGAGCTGTAACGTTTTGGAGGGGATTAAGGGGATTACGGTAGGGGAAACAAAAGACGCGCGGTGCCACGGATGACTTCAAAGGGGCCTCTTGGACGGGATCTCCATTCATTACAGCTTCCTGGTTCAACGGAGCTGACGCGAAGCATCCATCCGAAGTCTCCATTTTGTTTTCCATTTCATGCAATTTCGCATTACACCGTACATTGTGGTAGGGGTATATCAGACACCAAATCTGCCTGCGATCATCTGTTTGGCTAAACTTCCGGTAAATTATAAGAATATTGATGAATTTGGTATCAGTTTGTAAAAAAAAAATACCGGTAGTGTTTTACGAGAAAATTACGATTATTATTTTTTTTTCCTCTTTGAAATGTCAAAGTTAGGGTGCAGCCTATGCGGCCTTATCGCCGGCAAATACGGTATTGGCATTTCAAGAAAGCCGGAGAGCAACTTACGCATGTGTCCTGATATGGTACTTGAGGTTGGCAGGCCAGGAGAAGCTCCTGTTGCAGCCGTTGACAGGACACTTGAGCATCTTGTTGCCCTTGTGGGTTTCCATGTGGTAGCGGAAGTGACTGGATGACTTGAAGATCCTGCCACACTGCTCACATTTGTGCTCACGTTTTTCTACGAAAAAATAAATAAATAAGATTCTTATCTCATAAGACACATGTTCTTGCAGAAGTGTAATCCTAGCCAGTTTCCCTTCTTATTTGACCTTGTAGTTTCAATATATTTACACATCCTTAAACTTCAGGATGGTTGAAATCTCTGCACTTTTATATACACAAAATAAATAAAATTTACATCAGCACACATAAAATGAAGGACTTTTTTTCCAAAACGTACAACTTCAGAATGTTTTCTCAAATGTTCCTGTATAAGGGATTTCATATTTAATAATAAAGTTGTTTCAAATGTTCCCGCTTTAAATTAATTACCATGGTAGTTGGCTGGCATTAGTTCATTTTGTCTTGTTCAGCCAGTGATAACTTGTCTTAAAGATGAAGTTGAGTTCTGGTCATGCAATTGCATTGTGAAAGAAATGGTGTGGAATCGATCAGAAAATGTTGATCATGTGGCATATGTAGGTATCGGTGTGTACTGCAAGGTTCTGGAATCGTCAAAATGATAAGTAATGTGGTCTTGGTAAAAGTAACAAGCACCGTACCCAGAAAGATGTATATGGGACTGCATAAAAATGTGGTCCTCATTTTTAAGCGGTTACATGTCATATTTAGAATAGGCATATGAAGGCATTTGAAGAGCCATGCATTTCAGGGAACATTTTTTCTCTGATGTTCTTCCACACTTGCATAATAACAATGAAAGCGCTCACAAATTATTTTTTGCCTCTACCTAGAACTCAACCTTCTCTTTAAGAGCTAAATTCCTTCCCCTAATCTTTACACACTCACCAACTTGCTTTGGTGTGGGTGCATTGTAGGTCCTAGCAATGCTCTCCTGAGTTGCACAGATCAAGTTGGCATGGGCTATGTCCCTGAGCCTCAGAAACTGGGCCCCCTCCCCGCCCTTCTGCATGCCCCCTCCTATCACTAACAGGGGCATGAAGGACGTGGTGGCCCCGCCCAGTGACCCCAGTGGTGCTTGGGCCCTGGTGGGTAGGTTGACCAGGAAGAGGCTGGATTGCTGGAGGGCTAGACTGGACAGGGCATCCAAGGTGTCAGACTCGTCTCCGCATCCCCCCAGCTGCTGGGAGAAATCATCCCCATGGAGGTCGCTTCCATCGTCATGGAGGGAGTCGATGGTAGAGTCATGGTCGTTGACTGTCAGACTGGACTGAGGTACTGTTAGGGAGGAGCTGAGGAGAGAGTGAGGGTCTGGTTCTACCAGCGCTGACGAGGGCGTGTCTGCCATGCAGTTGGTGCTGTGCATGTAGCTGTTCGTCATCACGCTTGATGGCGAATCTTGATCCCTGTCACGATGTTCCACCTAATCAAAATTCAATGCAAAAGATTTTTTGTTATTGATAGGCTAACCGAATAGAGGTTTGTGTTTTCAATTCACTCTTGCACTTACTCATTTTAAAATTTTCTCATTCACCTCTGTCAGCACATAGGCCACATTAAGATGCTCAAAATAAAATGTCTATATACCAGTTCTGTACATTTCTTTAAAGAAAAAATTGTACCTAGGAGCTGTTGCAATAAAGCCTGCTTAAACATTACAATTTTATCACAATAATAATAGTAATAGGTTAATTTATATAGTGCAGCTACTATTATACAAATGATGCATGCGCATGAGTTCATTATACGATCTATCCGCACTCGAGTTGAGGCTGTGTGTATCTATGCGATAGATACACACAGCATCAACGAGGGTAGATAGATCGTATACTAAACGAATGAAAACATGCATCATTTGTTTTATACAACAAAACTCCTAGATCCTTGTTATTTGATGTAAAAAGAATTAATTCCAGATTGTTTTGTGACAATAAATGGCTGACAAATAAATCTCAAGTTTTAATATGTCTCAATTTAGTGCGCACACATAAGTATAGATATAGCAAGCGCACTTACATGTACCTCTACACCCATTTACGCATAGAGCTGTGCAAGAATAGGCCCATGCACACGCAGTATTAAGCACTCTAACCTCTACGCGCACTACTGCGCGCTCTGAAAACGAGTTCAATAGTACTGTAAAATATTGCACTCCTTTTCATGAAAACGAGTGCAATAGGCTCAGTAATTGAATCATACGTGACCGCGAATGACCAATCATTTGATTAGGATCTGGGAGTGAGTTGTATAAATGAATATATTCTACTGCGCTTATTATCCCAGCTGTAGCTGAGCTGCCATAAGAAGGCGCTAAAGCATTCAAGGAATTTCTTCCTACTGGGTACCCATTTACTTCACCTGGATGGAGAGTGGCAAATGAAGATTAATGTCTTGCCAAAGGAAGATTAATGCCTTGCCAAAGGAAGATTAATGCCTTGCCAAAGGACATGAGTGTCGCGGCGGGACTGGAACTGCAAACCATGGAATCAAGTCCAGTGACAAATCTGCTAGACCACGACATATCTAATTCTCTACTAAAGGATATTCATGAACTTTCATAGGCTTCTGAATGAATAATTGATTACAGATCGTACAGTTCTATAGAATGTACCCTAATTCCATTTAGATCTGTATGAACTGTACATCAAAATGTTGAAAATCACAACAGTAAAATAAAAAGCAGTCATCTCCGATCTTTTATAGAAAATACATAAACTGCTAAAAAGAGAGTAAATTTTACCTTAAGATGATGGTGGACCCCAGGAAACTGTGAGAGACTGCTGCCCGAGGCAGCCATTTTGAACGCAATGACCGCAACTACGTGAATGTATTCATGCCTAACATCTTGTTTTCAGTTGATCCAAGTCAGACATCTTTCAAAGCAAAGCTGGAAACAAAGAAAAAAAATGAAGAAAATCCCTCATAAGGGCAATGTTTGGACAATTTGCATTTCCAGTCCACTCAACTACTACCTGTACTCATGATAAAATTCTTTATTTCTTAATATTAATATTTGTTTGTAGGTTCATGTATTATTCAATTTCCTGGTAAAAGTCTTATTGAACTTTTTCACCATGTTATAATTATGCATGAATTTTGTATTGTTTGTTTTTTGTTGTTTATACTTTTTAAATCATATTTCAACTTGAGGTGCACTTGGCAGAGGCTCGCTTTTCTTTTTTCCGGTTTTGATAAAAACATTCCTCAAGACTGTATGATTCTTCTCTCTTTCTATTTTTCTTGTTCTACTCTGTCCTTCTCTACCTCTCTCCTCCAATCTTTCGTATATTCCCTGATCAACTTTTCTTTCTTTTTTCTTCTTCCTTCTATTCCTCTTTCTAGTTTTGTCTTTCTCTTTCTCTCTCTCTCTCTCTCTCTCCTTTTTTGATGACACAGAAGGTTTTTAATGTTTTTAATATTTGTAATATATTTAGATTTTAATGTAATATTTGCAATATATTTCGATTTTGATTTAATGTTTGTACATGTAATATATTTAGATTTTGATGTAATATTTGATTTTCATTTTGTTTCATTATGCATGATTTATAGTCGTACGTTTTAATCATTCATATTTTGAACGTTTTGTATATTGACTTTGTAAATTGAATAATTTCAGCTTCCCAGCTGCATGTTCTTTTATTTCAATAAACCGAATCAAATTCAAATTCAAATTTATGTTATACAGGAACCCTGAGGACAACAGCATTTTAACTACTGATGGGGCTACCCTGTTTGAGGAATAATACATCCACCAATCAATAATGAAAGAGAGAAACAGACAAAGAAAGAAAAGAATACATAGATAGATAGACAATAAAAATGAATAAATAAATAAATAATAAATAAGTAGATAAATATATAAATAACTGGAAATATCGCAATCTGCATTGCCGCATAATGCAAATGTATCCCCTGGCACTGGCAGGGATTTTTGTGTCATCCTTACGTTTCGAAGGAGGGACAAAGATCCCCTCTACCCTCCCTGAAACAAAAGGATGATGTAGAGATCGCCACTTGTGGCTCAGACGATTGTCAAGACTAGGATCAGCATCACCAAAACAATATGTGTGTAGATTTAGAGTAACATGCATCTCTATAGAAAATTTGAAAGAAATATGTCAAGAAATGTGACCTGCAGAGAGACGTATGATCTCTAAAATATGACTTTTGACCATATAAAAGATGGAACACTGGGAGGCAGCATCACCAAATCTGTAGAGTTCTAGAGTAGCCTATGATGGGCCTCAGATTCCATACAAAATCTGAAAGAAATCAGTAGAAAAAAGTGACCACCAGAGTGCATGCACGACAGCAACAAAAATATGGCATTTGAACCTATAAAAAGTGGAACACTTGGGACAGCATCACCAAACACTAAGACACACCTCCATACAAAATTTAAAAGAAATCTGTCAAGAAATGTGGCAGTTTGAGCGCATAAAAGACATGACCTTTGACCCTATACAAAACGGAACAATGAGGGCAGTATCGCCCAAAATTGAACATGTGTAGATTGTACCAAGATACATCCCTATACAAAATTTGAAAGAAATCCATCCTGAAATGTGGTCTGCAGAGTGCACTCATGCCATCCTGACTCAATGAAACACTGGTGGCAGCATCATCAAAAACTGTATGTGCGTAAATTTACCAGCATACACTTCCATACAACTTTGAAAGAAATCTGTCAAAAAATGTTTCAGTGAAACTGCACACCAGAGTGCTTACAAGACATCTATCAAAATATGACCTTTGACACTGTAAAAGACGGAATACTAGAGGCAGCATCACCAAGATACACCTATGTTCAAAATTTGAACAAAATCCCTTGAGAAATGTGGCCTACACTGTGTAGAGCGCACACAAACCATCCACTAAAATATGGCCTTTTACCCTACAGAAGAAGAAACACTGGGGGCAGCATCACCAAAAATTATAGGTGTGAATATTATACCAAGATACACCTCCTTAAAAGATTTCAAAGAAATTTGTCAAGGAATGTGGCAGTTAGAGTACACATATTTGTTTTCCTTCAATTTTTGAGCCCTCCACAGGTTATTTATTAATAATCTTCACACAAACGGACATATCTAACATATGTGCATGTTTAAAACAGTTCAAAATAATCTTTCTATACAAACAATCGTAGCAACTGCCACTTTACAGCAAAATTTCTTTCCATTCCAGATAAACATACAATATATCAAAAAGCGGAACAATACTATTCAATTTACAATATAAACATCTGTTGTTTAATTAAAATAAAAATACAATTTAGAGCATTGTTTCTCTAATCTTCAAAGCCAAAAATGATATATACTACATCTTCTATTTCTTTATTTTTGTATAAAAACAGATGGGAAATTGTAATTCAAATATCGTTCCCACTTATTAGAGAGAAACAATTTGTTTCTCCAATTTGTTTCTCCAAAAAGTACTTTACAAATGTATCTACATCTTTTTTCTTCATGAATAAGTGTTTTAATATGGGAAGAAATTAAAGGTTCTTCCAAATTTGTTGACATGTTTTATAATGTTCATTATATCTGCACTTTATTACTTGACAAACTGAATAATACAAATAATTATGCTTCAAATTAAACTTCTGCTCACATTTGTCATGAGACAGTAAGTTTCCATTACTATCCATCAAATCATTAATAAATCTTTGGTTAATTTGTCACCTAAAATAAAGGAAATAGACAGTGTTTTCTTTCCTACCTTGTCTTGTAGCAACACCTGTTGAAACCAGCACCAGAATTAATGAGCCACTAATTGTTGGGACAGGTTATCTCACAAGTCACAGTGAGATAATGTATATTGACAAGGTAAATTATAGGTAGCCGTTCAAAAATGGCACAGTTCCCGTAGAAAAAATATGTAGACTATATTTAGTAAAGTCGCTTCTTTGCAGATGAAGTAAGGGAGACGAAACTCATACTGTAGTATAATCTCAATAAAGTAATAAGGCCTTAGAACCAAGAAGAGAATCGAGCAAAGAAGTCAGACTTGAATTATGATGAAGCTGAAATAGCCTTAGCCTTGATATAGACTCTCTCAAGACGTGTGCTCTACATGTAGATAGGTGTGGCATATGTATGCATACATGTGTAGGCTATACCAGTACATTGGGTGGTTGCACATCCCAATACAATAGGGTTTAGAACGTGCTTGCCAGAGCAAGTATGTGTGGCACTCGAGTAATGTTACAGGTGTCACTATAGAAATGGGTGACAATTTAATAAAAGGCAAGATTTCTAGCCACACAATAAATTCAAGACAATAATATTTACAAATGTAAAATTCTTCTATGGTCAAGTCACTACAAATCTACACTTTTCATACCAGGATTTTAAAAGAATAGACTAATTGCGAATTTGAATTGAGCTATTCATCCATAGAGATTCAGATAACCAATCAGCTTCACACAAGAATATGACGCTGCGGCGTCGCAATGCTGAATCCAAAGTATCCTCTGGCATACTGTCGGGGGATACACTTAAATATCCTTCTCCCTTGTCATTGGTCAACTATGTTACCCACTTTTAGCATTCCTAAAGTAAATAATGGGATCACTTTGTACTGGTCCATGCATCAGTGCACCCCATTTGTTCTGAGCTGTGTAATATCAGAGGTCTACAGTGGTCACTGGTCAAGGCTATAATAGGCAGTCATTATTACACTTACTTTACTTTACTCTAATCCAAAGATGTTGTAGGTCTAAGCCTCTTCATTGATCCGGGATTCTGCTATGGTTACTGCTATTTGTGAAGGGAGGAGATTATGTGCTAACAATACATGAAACAATGTATTGTTTTACTCACTGATGGGGTTACCCTGGGTAAATAAAACAAAATAAATAAATAAATAAACAATAGACAACACCTAGACAGGCTCTTACAGAAGGCTTGGATTCTTTGACCAGTGACTATCAAGTCTATTCTTCAAGGAAAATCCAACCCAAATAGACAACTACTCTAAACGAAAGCGGAAAAATCAGAGAAGCAAACTGATGAAAGTTTCAATTAAATCTGACTAAATATAAGAAAGTTATGAATTTTTGAAAGTTGTAATCACTATTCACTACCGCTATACGTACATGTATGGGCACATCCTTTAAGTGGGAAAATAACGATTATTAGTTGTCGAATCAACGTAAGTGATACTGTGTGTGTAATTGATTTTTTACAGACGTGTATCAATCAGATATGATTATTTACGTCTGGGGACCGACTTTTAACGTCCCCATTTGAAATATGTGATTCAGTTTCGAACTTGCGTCCTCAGCTGAATCAGTTTGTAACTTCCATTATAAGCTGGATTACAGGTGCATGCCACAATGCCCCGTTGTGTAAGTAAGTAATAGTCTGTAAGTACATGTAAGTAAGGGGGGGGGGGGGGGGCTTGAAAATGTCTTTAAGTGAGAAAATAATGACTATAAGTTGTCTAATCGACTTAAGACCTATAGAGCCAGTAAGTAATAGTCTGATTTTCATACCATCAAGCCTTAGATTAAGCAGCCAGGAGCAAGGGGCAATTTATTTTTTAAAGTTGCCCCTTGCCCACAGGGATTTACCAGAGCAAGGGGCAATTTCTTAAGAACCAGGGGCAATTTTCCAAAAACAGATAATGACCACTAATTAATTAGGCCTAGAGGTCTAGATCTAGACCTACACAAGTTAAATAAGTTCAAAGAATGTTAATTTCATAATGAATACGATCAATTTAATAGCTTTTTAATCTTAACAAGATCAACAGGAAAGATTGATTAAAAACATCAATTTGCAAATTAAACAGTATTTTAAAGGTAAAGACCAGTATTGGAAATGCCCCAATTTCAAAAAATGAAATGGAAGCTTTCATTACCAATCATGTGAAAGAATCATTTTGACTAAATACATGATGATAAAAAATTTGCCGGGAAACCGCCTACTAATTCATATATTTGGTAAATTTGTTTCTCTCATGGTCTGTGAGAGATATAGGGTAGTCCCATACATCTTTCTGTGTATATACAGTGCTTGTAACTTTACGAAGAATGGGCCAAATTTCTTATCATTTTGATGATTCTAGAACCTTGCAGATACTAGATGCTAGATGATCAACCTTTTCTGATCGATTCCACAACGTTTCTTTCACAATGCAATCGAATGACCATAACTGGTCTTTACCTTTAAAGTAACTAAAAATATTGATGAGCAAATGAATAAATAAATTGTCAATGTCACAATTAACATCGTTTATCCCAAATCTTCCGCCACACTCTTGGCAGTAAGAGCAAATTTGAAGAATTATCTTATTAATTGTTGTAGACCCTATTACCAAAGAAATATGAAGAAATCTGACCAACTATTCGTATTAAAAATCGTACATGTAAAAATATCCTTAGACATTCGACAGCTGAAGTTGCGTAACGTGTGTTCTTGAAACAAAAAAAACACACACTCCCTGGTGGGATGATAGCGGGCTGGAGTTTGCCAACGAAACCAATGCACCTTCGGAGATTCGCAGCACGAAAATTTATCGGGACTCGAAAGGTTTGTGGTGGGAAGCTGGCCAGCTAGCTTTTTGCCAAAACAAGGCTAGGTCGGCTGCTGGCGAAATGAGAGTAACTACGATCGAGAACATCGTAGGTGTTCTTAATAGTGCTGTAGTCAAACGTTTAACCGTCCGGTATCCGACTGCCCATGGCGGATTCCGTTTTCAATTGGACGGTTTCGTTTTCCTGTTTTTTTTGGGTTTTTTTAATATTTTTTTATTTTATTTTTTATTTTATTTTTATAAAGTTTCGATTTATGCCCCTCCACCTGGCACTATTCCTGGCAATGTCTCCCAGCTCAGTAATCGGTGTGATGACTTACCACTTGGAAACTAGAACAACACTCCAATTTGTCTGTCATCTTGGTTTGAAAGTAATCTTTGTAATAGATCTCAATATATATTCATCCAAGTTTAACACATGGTGTACCACAAGGTTCTATCCTAGGTCCTCTACTGTTTTTAATTTACTTTAATGATCTTACACATTATTCTAAAACGACATTGTTACTAATATTTGTGACTAGTTCACAAGCCCAAATCGGCGCCTTCAGTTAAATCACCGTCCTGCTTTTGACAGGCGGTTAAACGGAATTGGAGATATCCGTGATGTTACAGCACTAGTTCTTAACTTATCAATAAGAGAATTCTAAATTCTATTTGAGATGAAATAATAAACTGGACCTACAAACAAACCTCGAAGGATCTCTAATGACTATTTGAATGCTTGTTTATTTCTCCATTTGACGATTTGCTTTCTTGATCCTTCGATACATTTGTACGTGCGTGCGCCGCAGCATGCACCATCTACTAGCGATCGCATGATCTGAACGTACGGTACGGACGTACGTGCGCTAGCGCTAGCCTGTAGTATAACAAAGGGCGCATTTTCACGGAAACACTTGTGCCTTATTAAAGCACTAAATACGAAGCTAGTAGAGAGCTTGTGCACAGCAAACTGTTCGTGATTCCGAATCACGAAGAGTTTGCCGCGCAAGTTTCCGTGGAAATGCGCCCTTTACGAATCATTCGTGTATTTTTTCTGTTTTAATAATTTATGGGCGCATTTTCACGGCAAGCACTTGCGCCTTGCCTTCTAGTTTTAGATGATTAGGGGCGCAAATTGGTGGTTTTATGAGCAAATTTGCGCCCTGCGCCGGCTGAATCGAAGGCTTGCATACCATTGTACCGAATGGTTGTATGTTTTGTGCTGCGCAAAGATTCAATCAGTTTAATTTTGTCCATTACAAGAAGTGGATTATTGATGTAGACAAATGCTCATGTACCCTTTATAGCTCATTTTATGTATGTTATTACCAAAGAAAAAAAAAGCCAGTCAATCACTCGATAGTGTTTGACAGTGAAGTCTAGCAAGTACCGTAATTAACGTTGTATAAGCCGCCCTCGTGTATTAACCGCACACCTCTTTTTCGCCCTAAAAAAAAACAGTAGAGGACCTAGGATAGAACCTTGTGCAGAGCTGCCAACCTGTGAAACCAAAATCAGTAATCTGAAAGCTAAAAATCAGTAATTTTGGATGGAAATCAGTAATTTCAAGCGCGGCGCTTTCAACATCAAGAAGACTGCATTTGCACGTACATTGTAGAGCTGCACACAACACCACAACACAAACTACTAGTACCATGGTAATAGCATCACTCTGAATGACAGGACTTGAAGTAAAAACAAGAACATTCTGTTTATAACATCAGGCCTGAGTCATGTCGGGATTTTCATAAACCGGGTCCCGACGGCCTTGCACCGATCGGGACCCGGTGTCCCGAAATCAGCTCGCAGGATTTGTCACTTGCCTCTATAAAAAGCGCATATCATCAGTATGTCCCTTAAAAGTGACCTTTTTTATCAGTCAAATAAATCAACACATGCATACCTCGGCACAGATCGGTATATTCTTCCATTTGACATTATTTTTATCCATGATTGGCGATGTTTAGTGCCATTATCGTGGCTCTAAAAGTAAAAAAAAACTGGAGCAAAAATAGAAAGGCAACGATCGAGCCGCCATTTTGATTCATGCAGGTTGAATAAATCGGGTCAAAAAACATTAATGTTTGAATAATAAAACGGCTTTCCAAAAAGTACTCCTTTACAACATACCGATCGAATAATTTTTAAAAACAAAATAGATATTTTTTCTTTGATTTTGAACACCGCATGCTTCTTTTAAAAGCTGAAAATTACTTGGTAATCACAAGAAGTTTCGATACGGATAGCTGTTGCAAGGCAAGTTCAGACTAGTCTCGGAAAAACGCGCAGTGCTCCTTGTAAGCTGTAATGCGTGCCAGAACGAACCCAAACAAAGACGTGATCGTAACGAGAAAAAAATCATTAAAAACTACGAGAGCACAATTGGAAAGACAACTACTGCTCAAAATTACGATAATCAGATAAATAACTTGGACAAAGAATTCAATAATCGCCCAAGAAATGCCAAAGAAATTGTGAAAATCGAGGAGTAACTGGGTACATTTTTTATCGCAAGGGGCTTGCTGCAAATACTCGAATCCTTTGTTATACTGCTTTTTACCGTAGAGGGCGTTATTTGGTTTCTAGCCTCGTGTTAGAACACGAGGCTAGAAACCAAATAACGTGTAATTCGGACATATCAGCAGGCCCATTCCGATAATGATTGTACCTATAGTAACTCCTTAAATATCACTATTTCTATGGCTTTTCATGGACAACTATTGTATTATTCCTCCAAGTTATGTATCTGCTTACGATAATTTTGAGTAGTTGTCTTTCCAATTGTGCTCTCGTAGTTTTTAATGATTTTTTTCTCGTTACGATCACGTCTTTGTTTGGGTTCGTTCTGGCACGGATTACAGCTAACTACGAGGAGCACTGCGCATTTTTCCGAGACTAGTCTGAACTTGCCTTGCTTGCAACAGCTATCCGTATCGAAACTTCTTGTGATTACCAAGTAATTTTCAGCTTTTAAAAGAAGCATGCGGTGTTCAAAATCAAAGAAATAATATCCATTTTGTCTTTTAAAAATTATTCGATCGGTATGTTGTAAAGAAGTACTTTTTAGAAAGCCGTTTTATTATTCAAACATTAATGTTTCTTTCAACCTGATTTATTAATCCTGGCGAGAGACCCGGCCAGTACAGTAGCTAGCTAGCAGCTGGCAACAACAATCCCATGGGGCGAACTGCTTTGCAACCCATATTTATATCAGCAGTTCAGATTGATTCAGGATGAGCTAGAATATGATTGGTAACAATTAAATACTTGAGTTTCAAGGTGGAATGATTTTAGTGGTGTGCAAAACTGCAATTTCTTACATATTTCATTATTTTTTTCGGAGCGTCGGTTCTCAAAAAACGAAACCGGGACCCGACGGCAACGGTCGGGTCCCGGTGTGATCGACCGTACCGACTCAAGCCTAATTTTAAGTGCTATAAAAAAAACAATGGTTATTAGAGGATTGATGTATCATTACCCTGTTTCACTTACGTGTGTATATTCACTTCAGGTTTTTACAATTGCAATTTTACTGTCAGGGAAGGCATTTTTGACAAGTTGTGAAAGGTGGTCTGCTGCTGAAAACGCGATGTTGTGCTCTATCAAAAATTGAGTAAACTTCACTTCGGCGTTCGGATCGTGACAGAATTGTCCTTTGCGACGAAAAACTGGGCGATGTCATGACTGCGGGAATTGGAACTTGCCTCCGCCGCTGCAGTCCGGTGCTTCACCGACTTCAGATGTACCTGGATATCGTTCGAACCGCCATGACCAATTCCAAAATCGGATGAGCAATGTGTACAACAGGCACTGTTTGTATTCCTTTTCGACGGAACAATGCATGACCATTTCACCTGAGAAGGTTTGCAGTTTTTTAGAACGCTTCTTCGATGAAGTTGAAGTCATTTTTCTCCGTCGGTTACTCGAAGTTTGACGCGACCACGGCCGACCTGCTGCACATGCGGTAGTGTAACACTCGGCCAATGCATATTTCGCCCAGATAAATATCGTGCCACTTGTTTCAGCACATCCACCATGCATGCGCTTTCGTATCGGTCAAAACTTTGTGTGTCAGCTCATTCAAAATTTATTCGTGTATCATATTTTGTTATCAACAATGAAAAGGGGTATATGAATAAAATGAAATGAATAAACATGATCCAACAAATAATGTGAAATAAAACACAATGACAATAATTGTTGAATATAAATTCAAGTTTAATCAAGGAAGTACATTCATTTTCCTTATGACAATTATCATCATCATCATCATCATCATCATCATCATCTTCATCATTAGTCGAGTCGTACTTTTATTATCATAACAATGAGAACCCATCACTAAGGGGAAAAAAATTGTAGACCTGCTATAAACTACACATGGACATGGTACCGTACGGGTTGGTTTGCAAGGTGGCTAAATGGACTTGTGACGAGTTTGCCGTCTCCCCGATATATATTGCATGCTGAAAGCTAGCACACGCAGCCCATATAGGCAGGGCGGTGTGCATATCTTTCGATGGTAGCTACATGTGTGTGCAGTGGTCGTGGCTGAGGCGCGGATGATATTTCCGTGCGCTCAAAAGTTAACCACCGGGCCGAGGCCCGGGAAGTATCGCGATCATTACCGCTAAAACACTCGCATATGCATAATGCATGTGTTAATACATAGGCATGTCCAGAAATCGGGGAATCCGTAATTTTTGAAGGGGTTTCCGTGCTTCCGTAATTGCCGTTGATTTCCGTACCAATTACGGAAAATCCGTACTAGTTGGCAGCTCTGCTTGTGGTACGCCGTGTAATAGAAGAAAAATTAGAGGAATTATTATTATCAACTACATATGGAAGTCTATCACAAAGATTACTTTCAAACCAAGACAGACAAATTTGAGTGTTGTTCTTGTTTCCGTGTGGTTAGTCAACACACCGATTACTGAGCTGGGAGACATTGCCAGGCATAGCGCCAGATGGAGGGCATAAATCGAAACTTTAATTATTTTTTTTTTTGTGTACCGTGTATAAACCGCACCCCGACTTTTTCGGCGGCAAAAAGGTGCGGTTAATACACCGTTAATTACGGTAAACAGGTTTCCTTGCATAATTTGAATATTAGGACACTGCTAACGTTTGGACATACATGACCAGGATTTCCTGCAAAGTTCTACAGAATTTGATGTTGGCTGCAAAAGGGACAATACACCCTGGTGGCCTGTACTGCAATTGAAGATGAAGAAGAAGAAGAAGAAAATACACTGTTTCTTTTCTCTAAAATTTGGTGACACATATCTACACTTGAAAGTTGCCTCTCTGTGCTTTCTGCTTATTTTTCATGTCATATGCTGTTAGTAAGGATGGCATAGCACTGTATTGATTAAGTTCGGGCTCATCTGGATGTTCAGGATGGTGCCAATAGACCGGTACATGTAGGTAGCTGACTTGACAAGCTTCATGCATAACCTGATCTCTCACTGTATACATGGCTCTGCTCCGCAGTATAACATCGGCTTGATTAAGCATTACTTTCCTTCTAGACAGCTACGTTCTCAAAACTCTGGCTTACTTGTTACTCCTAGGGTTAAAACAAAGTGGGGGGAGCGAACCTTCGCTCATGCTGGGCCTTCGTTATGGAATACTCTCCCTCAATGGGTAATAGCAGTTCTGCTGAGGTGTTAAAAAACAATCTTAAGAAATATCTGTTCAATTTAGCTTATAATTGATTACCATTACCTTTCATGTCTGTACCTTTCCTATCGCACTTTGTATAAATGTATCATGTATGTATTTCATCTTTTGCACAAGCTGCGCCTTGAGCATTTGACTGTCAAGTGGATTTGGCGCCTTATAAATCATATGTATTATTATTGGCCATGGCTGCTGTGCCACTCTGTAGGCTGCATTATGCCGCAGACAGTCACCGACTATATAACAAAAATCACTTAAAATTCACAAAAACATTGTCATAAAACATTGATTCTGCCCCTCAAACTGAATGCTGGTGCTAAATCCCAGTGATAAGAAACAGGGTCTGCAAAAATGAGCTAAAAGTCAGAAAATATGAGGTAACACATATCACATGATGTGTACCGGTACATATACTGTACTGTATGTGTTAGGTGAAGGCCCGAGTCATGTAGGGAATTTTATATACTAGGTCCCGATAGCTTGGAGCAAATTTTGTGTGCTAAAATCCTTCTCATAGAGATTGCAAGCATCCCTATGCAGTCTATTTGCATTGCGCAATCATGCAAAATGTTTAATGGGTCAATGTTTTTATTACCAAATCGAGATTAAAACCTTTATTGCTTGTGATCCCGAAGGTGATACTCAATAAATGAGGTGTCATACATATGAAAGAGCAGTTTTTTTCTCCATATTTCCAAAGGGGTGTCATCTCGGAATTCTAAAGATATATCTTGGTCAAAACAGCGATTTTAACATTGTTTCCATCGTAGCTCCGAGATATGTCACTTTTTAGAAATGACGTCCCAAGCGATAAGTAGTCCCAGTTGTAAGGAATATATCCATGCGCTTATTTTTTTGCTAGCCCCAAGGGATCACAAGCCATTACAGTCTGAAATAACCTTCCCCCCATTTTTTCGGATCAGCTAAGTAGGGAGGCGCGAGCTCTGCTCGGTCCAAACCCATGGTGACGGCACGTAGAATTTGAACATGCATATGCAATCGGACCGCGTGTGTGTGTTTGTGAATTGGCAAACGGACCCACACACGGAAGACAACAGAGGTGGAGCTTGCGATGGCGCTCAATTAGCACATGTAGCTAGGCAGCACGTGTACGTTTGCATATCGCGCATGCAGCTGTTTAGCAAAACAAAATAACTCTGCATATAAATGTAGATCTAGAAGTAGAACCCTACGTCTTTTTCATCGATTCTGACAATGATGATGATAGACTTCTAGTGGTGAAAAACCATCCCAAAAAGGCCAAAGGCAAAGCCGAAGGAAAAATAAAAATATCGTTCAGACACCGCAATTAATATTGGGATTCAAGGATGAAATAAATTTTTTAATCAAGCCTCAAGGTCACCATTGTAATGATGGGCATAAATCTACAGTTTCCTTTTAAGATTTGAATCAGAGCGTCGCTCCATCTCCATCAGCGAGAATTAGAAGGCAAGTCATGAAGTGCAGTGGCATAGCGCTAGTACAGTGGCGCTCCACCCATACACATCCCACACACCAGGCAGGCTGACATACATGGCATCGAAAGAGTGCAGTGGTGGAGTTTCGCGAGCACAGAAAACTGCACTCGGATCCCGAGGAAGACTGTGGATAAATGCACTCGTTATCATGTTAGTATGTACGAAATAAATGAACAGAGATACAAATACTACGAACAACATATATTCTTATCTCTGAATTATGAATACATGAATAGTTCTTACCGAGATCATGGGGTATACACAAACGTCAAAAATGCCGACACTGCAGCAACTTTAATAACATAAGAATTAGACCGAATTTTCCGTCTCTTTCGTTCGTTAGCCTCTTATTGGGGTAGGGTCGGCTCTCTCTTTAGAGACGGAAGCCGTTTATACACATGTCCTTGCTAACGCCACGGCCAGTTCTGGTCGTAGCGTTTTGCCCCCAAAATCCCCCAAAATGTCATTTTACCTCGAGCATGTTATATTGTAAATTAGGCCTAGGCTATAATAAATCAGTTCCACTTACCAACTTGACTGAAATAATCAGTTTAATAGTCCCTTTTTAGGAAATTATGGGTCAAAATCGAAATCCATTTTGAAAATCTTTTTCAACATGGATTCCGATTTTGACCCATAATTTCCTAAAAAGGGACTATTAAACTGATTATTTCAGTCAAGTTGGTAAGTGGAACTGATTTATTATAGCCTAGGCCTAATTTACAATATAACATGCTCGAGGTAAAATGACATTTTGGGGGATTTTGGGGGCAAAACGCTACGACCAGAACTGGCCGTGGCGTTAGCAAGGACATGTGTATAAACGGCTTCCGTCTCTAAAGAGAGAGCCGACCCTACCCCAATAAGAGGCTAACGAACGAAAGAGACGGAAAATTCGGTCTACATAAGAATAGGATTGCACATTGACTGATATTAGTAGACTAATTTATTGCTACCGTCCATCCATGTATGGTGTCGTCACGATAATTATTTCCTAATACAAATAAAAATTTCACAAGATCCCACTTCTTTAGGTCGTATTTCTAGCAATTTTCATTTGTATGGTTAGAATACTGGCACGTAACTAGGATTTTAGCAGGGGGAGGGGGGGCATGGAATATATTGAGGAAAATGTTATTTTTGCTTAATTTATATTGGCATATCAGCAGAGGCAGTCTGGAAACTAACCCCCCCCCCCCCCCCTTATCAATATTAGGGCTATAATTACACCTCAAAGTTCATCATTGAGATTGTCTTAACTTAAAACTATAGTGACAAAAATATGGTAATGCAGTGAGTGTCATAATTTTTTTTCTTCGAATTTTGGCTTGTTTTCATTCTAAACCTATATGGACTGAAAAGTTTTTATTAGGCCCCCTAGTGAAGTATTTCCAATGTTTGATTAGTCTTGATCTAAATGTTACATTGGGACTGAAGATATATAGAAGAGACAACAGTTCCGTGCTATTACACCCACATGGACTTGTGTATAGACGATACATACTATGTTCTTCTGGATTACCATTATGATCAAGTGGGTTCACCTATATTAGGCAAAAGACTCTATATAGTTGGCCCAAATTTCCTAATCTAATGCAGAATTCAATTTTTACTAGAAAAATTACCATATCATGAATAATCTACATATAACTGTCTTGCTGCATATAAAAAATGACAAGGGAGCACATCTATCTAAGTTTTACAACAAAAGTACACAATAACTCAATAAATATTTGTCAATTGAACTGAGGAAGAGTTAGAGAACCATTGGACTTAACATTTTGGGAACATGATATAAGTCACTAATTATATTGATACAAAATTGAAGTAGATGATCTGCTGGATCTGGATTTTCATGTGTACCCCAGCAAAATGAGGTATTGTATATGTTATTTGATATGTGAATTGTGGTCTACAATAATATTGCAAAATTGTGGACTTCTTAAGTAGCACATAAATATACATATATATGTTCAAATTATAAAATTCAGAACAGTGACAAAATGCATGTTTTCATTTTTCCAAATATTTTATTGGCAAAAAAGAAAATTCACAAAGAATCAAGAAAAATGAAATATTTCTGTACATAACAAAAGTAATATCAGTAATAAATAATTTCAAGTGTAAAAATAATAAAATAAAGACAAAATATTGGCTCACTTTAGGCAGTACATTTCAATTTGTCATTTTTATAGTACAGAAGCTTGTCATGATTTACAACCAACTCTGGGAATTCCATTCATTATAGATTTGTAACATTCCAAAAGATATGTGGCACTAAATATCAACAAAAAGACCACATGTCATACTGATAAACATAAGTAAACAAACAAACAAACAAGCAAACAAATAAAACAGGAGTAGCTTGAGGAATACTGAGGGTGGTTCAAAATATGCGCAAAAGGAAACATCTTTCAATTTGAAACAAAGTTGTTTTATCATAGGAGCGATACAACAGGAATCCTGGGGGGGGGGGAGGGGTGGTACTTGACCCCTCTCCCCCTAAACACACACCATTCTCTAAAAACCTCAAAAATGGGTTTAACTTGTATTATCTGTGAAATTTAAGAATCAATATTGCAAGTAACATAACAAAAAGACCACATGTGATACTGATAAACAAAAGTTAACAAACAAATAAAACACACATGTTAAGTAGCTTGAGGAATTCTGAGGGTATTTCAAAATATGTGCAAAAGGAACAACCTTTTAAATTTGAAACAATATTGTTTTATCATAGGAGGGTTTCATCAGGGAAGAGGCTGGGGAAGGCATGTGACCTCCCTAACCATCCCCCCCCCCCCAAACACACACCATTCTTTAAAAGCCTCACAATCCCTACCAAAATGGGTTTGATTTTGTTATTATCTGTGATATTTAAAAATCAATGTCAACATAACAAAGGATAATAAAATTATATTAAGTAATGCTTTACATAGCTAGATGTAAACACTACTCCAGGGTCTCCCCAAATCCAAACCCCGTTCCTCATTTGGACCGTACGACATGTAAATCCCGACTACCCAGGACCACTATTTTCCCTGTAGATCAGATATAGAACTAAAACAAGCCTCATTTTCTTCAGTTAAAACTTTAAAATGTCTTATAAGTGACTTGAAATTTAAGGAGTAGATTGTCTGAAGATTTGCATAAATCTGCCTTTGTCTTGCAATCACTCCATAAATGTATGCAAAGTTTTAAGTAGCTTATTACTGGAAAGCGGTGCCACTTTTTCCACTGACATGTGCCGTGGGCGGCTCACAAAGGGTTTGAGAACCCCTGCACTACACTACATGTATTGTAGAGCACATATTAAATGAAAGTCATATTTAAGTAGGAAATACAATCGACTCTAACAATACCCATCAAATGTACTCACTGTAAAAGCTGAAGCAATGTGTCCGTTTCAAAATCTTTCATTGCAGGGCCCAGCCAGGGACCCGCTTTAACATAGCCTTTTTTCAACGACAAAAATCAGTGACAAATCTGCTGATAACCAATCAGAAGTAAGGATTTCACAAGCTTATAACAAAAACTGTCATTTGTCACTGATGACAAGTTTTGTGACAGGAAATGTTTAATATAGTAATCTATTGTATATTGATGCAAATAAGCAAATATACTATGTAAGTGTTTTTCTTTCAATACTGATTAGCAGTAGATTATAACGAAATGCCATATATATGTTTGATTAGGCTGGGAGTGTAAGTACATGTCCGAAATCAAACTCAAAGAAAACCCTGTATGTATTGGTGTACATACATATATATTTCAGATTTTACACAATTGTACTGATGAGACATGATTACGTGCGTCTAGGGACGACCTTCACTGCTGCAATCTGAAAGACAAGACTTGATCAGAATTTCCATCAGAGTCACTTTGTAAACAAAAACAGAGAGCTGACTAAAAGAACAACTCACATCTCCCTAATACTAGTATATACATGTATGCACAAATGGTGAATTATATATACCGGTATATATTTCCCACGTACCCAAAATACTGGTGGCAATAGACGATCAGCCATTTGATCATTACTTAAAAGATAAACAAAGCTATAACTCATCAGTCAAAAGAAGTCATTTACGAAGGAGATTCGGTTGGCGATGAAAATCTTATCCATCATTACACAGCTTGCTTGCTTGTATAAAATTTAAAACACTTACTGGTAAGTGAAATAAAATACACAAATTATTCAAAAGACTAAACAAAATTATCTGGTAGTTTACCACACATTCATGCGACATGTTTGTGTAGTCCATACACACATTTTTGTGTATAGTGCATTTGATTTTTAACAGATTCAGTCAATTTCTAATTTTGATGATTCCAAAACCTCACGGTATGCACTAATACTTACCTTCTACCTTTCCCAATTACTTCAAGACAGTTTCTTCAGGGATGCCGATTAGAATTGATCAGAGGGCCTGAAAATCACCTTGAATGAGCTATTTTGTAAACAAAAAAAATGGCCTGAAAAAAACTTGGGACTGAATTCAGACTTTTACCTTAAAACTGGCACCCCTGTTTCTTTCAGAACGCAATCACATGACCAGAACTCAACTTTATCTTGAAATGTGGAAGGATTTTCTCTTCTATCAGTTAAACATTGTTGTACTTTCTTGCTCTCAATGAAATCCATTGTTCCAAATATGGAGAACTTGGGTGTGATAATCACTACCGTTTTTTTTTTTTTTTTTGTCTTTCAGTTACTCTAGACTCCATAATACAATACCGGTACATACTACCCGTTTTGTATAGAAGGGCTAAAGTTTCATAGCTTGTCCAATGTCTTCTTAACACCTCAAGAAATGGGCTTGTGGTGGAACTAAGAGTCAAATTCTTTCCTCATATCAAACTTTTGCAAAATGTTAAAGACAGCTGTTGTCATGGTACGTGTTTTTCCCAAATTGCAAGCAACTTTAATGAACTGTAAAAAATGTCTACCGTAAATTTCTGTGTATAAGACACACTTTTTGCTGCCGATTTTTTTTTAAAGTACCGGTAGGGGGTGCATCTTATACACAGGTACAATTTTTTTAATTTTTCAAAAAAAGTTACGATTTATGCCCCTCCACCTGGCACTATGCCTGGCAATGTCTCCCAGCTCAGTAATCGGTGTGTTGACTCACCACTCTGAAACTAGAACAACACTCAAATTTGTCTGTCATCTTGGTTTGAAAGTAATCTTTCTAATAGATCTCAATATGTAGTTTATAATAATAATTCCTCCAATTTTTCTTCTATTACACACGGCGTACCACAAGGTTCTATCCTAGGTCCTCTACTGTTTTTAATTTACATTAATGATCTTACACATTCTTCTAAAAAACAACATTATTAAATGTGACAAGTTTACAAGCACCAATCGGCGCCTTCAACTGCACCTGGCAGTTAAATGAAAGTCCTTCCCGCGTGGGTTTTTTAATACGGACCTGGCTTGCTGCTGACAGAGTCGGCAAAAAAAAAAAGAAGATTTTTTTCCTTCTTTTTCTTGGCCCCCAAAATAGGGCTGCGTTTTATACACAGAGATTTACGGTATGTTATGTTGTAAAGAATGTCATTCAAATATTTCATTGCATCAAACTTTTCTAAATCTTGACCTCTCGCAAAATAATATAGACATTTCTTGTTGTCCAGTAAATACCAGCTCTAAAAGTAAAACTGGGAAGAATGAGGTAAATTATCGAGAAAAAAAAAGGAACCGATCCCTTCACACACAAAGAATAATGCCCCTGTCCATGGTCGATTCTTGAGGAAAAGCCCCTTAATCTCACATCAGAATTTGATCCTGATGATTAAGCTTCATTTGAATCATATAAGCTGTCTGTACGGAGAGAGGTAACTCTGGGATACTACCTAATTCAGTGCACCAAACAGCACCTTACAAGCAACAAATGGTATTTTTGAATTAGACAAGTGAACATGATTTAGATCAGAAACTTGAAAATCACAATAACCAACAAAATATATAATAATGATAATAATAATAACTAAAAAATGATAATTTTTTTTTTTTTTACAAAGATAAGACAAAGACAGCCAAAGTAATTTTTCTTCATAAAACGAAACAAATCTTTAAATTGGGAGGTCAAATTCAAATTCTCTATTAATTTCTGAATAAGCTGTTCCTCGAATAAGCAACATGTGAAACCAGTTTTATACTATTACTACCCAATATCTAAGCCACAAACTTAAAACAAGTAATAGCGTCTTTACTCTCAATGGAATTACCCTTTTAAACATTTCTTTAAATGAACAGCCAATAGCATGATGCCACTTTTCTTTTTAAGAAGAAAATTGTCTGTATATAAGAAAAACCTTGAATTTACAAGAACTTCAGAAATAATAAAATACCGCAGGAGACTGAAACTGATTGATCCAGTAGCCATACAGAGTGTGCTTTCCACATTGTTGTTCCTATAAGTCACTGTGAATTAAATAATTTTGTGAGCCCGAGAGGACGTTACCGTCCCACTTTCCCGAGTCGTTGATCAGTCTTTGGATTGGCGGTCAGTGTCTGGACTGCAACTATAGTTTCATTGATCTTGGTTTGAAGGTCTCGTAACTCGTTGATGTGAAGTAGCCGTAAAATCCTCCCCGCATCGTTCAATACTGGATCTGCAAATTTAAGAGATTACACAGTTTAAAGTTGATTCTTTCCTATCAAAAGCAGTTTTATGACAGACAAGGCAAAGACATTTCCTAGTACAAACCTAATGCCTATTAGTATACATGGGTTTAGTAGCAAATTCATAGAGATAAAGTATAAATTTTCATTGTGTTTATTCAAAAGGATCATGAGAATGTAACAATTTGGGTTAGTTAAATCAAATTCCTGGGCTTTATTGATGAAATATGACTCCTAACAAATTAAATGGTCAAATATGGTACTTTCTCTTAAATCCACACTGCACTACTTCTAGCTACTAGCCCCCTCTATAACAAACAATGCCTTATCGGTGACCATTGGTCCCCCATGATCCTCTTTTTCTTATGTTAATTGAGGGCTTATTTGTTGAGATAACCACCTGTCCAGTGACTTTGCAGGGTGGTCTAATCCCTCCTGTACACTAGTACAGACTGGCTTTAAATTAAAAGATGTTATTCAGTGCTCCCAGCTGTAACATGATCTCCACATTTTTAAAGAATAGGGTGAACAAGGATACAAACCTTTGGCATCAAATCCTGCTTCATATTCACTGAGGTCCACCTCCACCCCCTGCAAAATAAAAAAGATCCCAAACAAGGTGTACAAGGTTATTTGTATCCTGAAATCCTGAAAATGGAAAAATTGAAAACTAGATGGAACTTCGACTGCGCGCAGTCGAAATGATGCCTCCGTCATAGAGCAATTTTACAAACCAAAACAGAAGAAATTGTTCAAATTCAAGTTCAATTGTAATCCATTAACAGGTTCTCAGAATATCGTGATTACAAGCAATTTCTCATATACATATATGACTCTTTGATCTTTGACCACATGACCCTAACATCTACTCAGTTCATTGGCTCTGCAAGATGTTCCGAGTTAAATAGTAATCCATCTGTCAGTTCTAATGAGAATGCGTTCACAAGCTATTTTTGCATACATAATGAGCCCATGACCTTTGACCTCATGACCCAAGAATCTACTCAGTTCATTGGCTCTGCAAGATACATACATGATCTAAGTTTGGGAGGAATCCAACAATCTGTTCTAATGATAATGCGATCACAAGCTATTTTTGCATGCATAATGAGCCGCATGACCTTTGACCTAGACCTCATGACCCAAAATTTAATCAGTTCATCGGCTCTGCAAATAACATACATGACCTAAGTTTGGCAGGAATCCATCAATCGGTTCTTGAGATAACGCGATCACGAGCTGTTTCAGCATACATAATGAGCCCTGTGACCTTTGACCTTTGACCTCGTGACCCCAAAATTTAATCAGTTCATTGTCTCTGCAAGATACATACATGACCTAAGTTTAGCGGGAATCCATCAATCGGTTCTTCAGATAACGCGATCACGAGCTGTTTTTGCATACATAATGAGCCCTGTGACCTTTGACCTTTAACCTCGTGACCCCAAAATCTAATCAGTTCATCGGCTCTGCAAGATACATACATGACCAAAGTTTGGCAGGAATCCATCAATCGGTTCTTCAGATAACGCGATCACGAGAACGGGACGTACGGACGGACGGACGTACGTACGTACGGACGTACGTACGGACGGACGGACAACCCGAAAACATAATGCCTCCGGCTACTTCGTAACGGAGGCATAAAAATTGATCATCAGTGATAGGGTATTCTTTAATGCTGTTCATTTCTTTCAAAAGATGATGTCATCTCAATAAGAATGCAGAAAGCTAGACAAACAAGCTTTCAAATGTCCCAGTCCTGGATACAATGTACTTTTTTTTCTATAAGGTCTGTCACAAATTACAAAATGCTGCACCAAATCTTGGATTCTGGTTGCATCAGGCATGGGACCTCAATTTGAAGAAAAAACTTAGATGGATCTTTGCCTGCGCACAGTGGAAAATGATGCCTCCGCCAAAGAGTGATTTTACAAACCAAAACAGAAGCAATTATTAAAATTCAAGTTTGATTGAAATCCATTGACAGGTTCTCAGTATATATCGTGATTCCAAGCTATTTTTCATATAAATGAATGACCCTTTGATCTTTGACCTGATGACCCTAAAATCTAATCAGTTCATTGGCTCTGCAAGATACATACATGTCCTGAGTTTGAAAGTAATCCATCTGTCGGTTCTAATGATAATGCGTTCAAAAGCTTTTTTTGCATACATAATGAGCCCCAAAAAGTAAATGCAAGTCAAGTATATATCATGTCTGATCAAAATCAAATTGATTTTAAATTCCTCTAATATCAGGTGCTATGGGAGAGATGAAATGTCACCAAAAAAAAGGGGGGCAGGGCCTAGTTTATGAGTTCATTTTACATTTTTGTTGTGAATTTGGAATAAATTTGTCTGTGCTCTACCTCTTCAAATTCACCCTCCTGTGCATCCTCAGAGAGTCTGTCTTTAATAAGGAGAGCAATTGCTTCCAAAGTGACGATAGGATCCACATGTCTAGGAATATTGAGTAGTGAGCAAAGGGAGACCAGGCCAGCCTTCACGTCTGGACTAGACACTGCAGGGAATAAAAAAGACCTCTTTCATTCATGTGCAGATCATATAGTCAATATCAACCCTTTCCATACTACTAGGTTTACCGGCAATTATGGTAAATGTACGTTTTGGAGTCAAATTTCATTAATTTTCGTTCTTTAATTGGTGGATGCTCAAACCAATTTTCTATTACTACTATATGTAGAGGTGTTGTAGTCGAGTGGTGTAAGCACTTGAATTGAAATGCTATGGTCGTAGCTTTCGATCTCCGACACCGTACAAATACCCTTTGGCAAGGCATTAATCTACACTTGCTACTCCATACCCAGGAAAGAAATGGGGCCCCAGTAGAATGATGAAAGCCTTTGTTTTAGTAATTGCCATATGCTCTCACGGTGACCATATGGTAGGAATAATCCAAAGGGAGTGGAGATGGTGCACACTGTGCATGAATGAATCTAATGACCGGGTAATTATATCTGTAAAGCGCTTAGAGAAGGTATTTCGTATATAGGGCTATATAAATCCAGATTGCTCAGCTGCCCTAAGGCTATGAAAGCATTCACGTACCACTTTACTACACCGACAAATGTATATCAGCAGCTTGCTAACAAACATCGGTGAACATTAATATCTAGAATTAAAACATTAGAAAATATCACAGTACCAATCTTACAGATTTCTGGAGGCAACTGTTTTTTTGTTTTTTTTATACCATCCCTATCTGAAATAGCTTCCCAGACTTTAGATTACCAGCAGAATTCTCATCAGAGCATCATGTCTCAAGGTCTAGAGTCAAAACCAAGACCAAGAGAAAATACCCTAGCCTACCCAAGACCAGTAACTGGTCCCTCCCAATCCCTGATCCTCACCATCAATACTTGCAAAGGGGTCCTCTGCTACAGGTCCTGAAGGGCTCTGAGGTGCTGCTACTTCTCCTTTGAACATTTGAGCTATAAGAAAAAAAATAAAACATTGTGTCAAACAAGCCAACGAGAACAACAATGAAATGAAAGTTAAGGTCTAACTTGTCAACTAACATGTTTTGTGTACCAATGTATTAGTAATCTCATGACAATGAGACTGATACAAAAATTGTGGGAATATTCAAACCTGCATGTATGTACTGGTAATTTAATCATTCAAATTATTTGTCACTAATCAAATGAATCATTTTTGAAAGAATAAAAATCTTTTCCCCATTCGGATACAAAGCTGTAACCACAGTGTAGTACAATTATAATATCAAAAATCAATTTCATTTTTAATGAGTTACAGGATAGTTATGGATATATGTTTATCATGAAAGTCAGGGGCAACAAGCCTTATTCATTTAATTGATACTTTCAGTATAATTTGAGAAGACAGAAATAAGTTGAGCTTGTTACCTTTTTCTCCAAACTCAAGTCTGATGGCATGACCCAGTATCCAATCACACACTGCCAGTCTGTCACTGCCATCTAAGGGACATTGTAAGTCTTGGATATACTGAAGAGAAAAATGTAGTGTAATAAGTGAACAATAATTGTGGAAAAGATCGAAAAATCTATTGAGAAAAGATCTATCAACAACAGTTGCATTGAAAAACCAATGGTTCAACCTCCCCCATCACAACTGAAGTCTACATTGTGTCTTGACTTGCACGGTCTGTTCATTATTCAAGACTTTTACACAATCATACATCAACTGCGTTTAGGACATTTAACCAAGTTCAATAACAGAAACCAAGACGCCTTCAGTAATTTTACCTCATGTTTTTTATGAATATATATCTTCACCTTTTTGTTCTAGTTTGTCTCTTCTTGCCATAATCTTGTTTGTATTGTGTTTCCAAGCATCTTTCTCAAAAATATTAAATCATGGCTCCACAATAACTTTTTTGAAAGGGGGATCCAGAATGAACTTTTAACATTCTGTATGCATGAGAGCTATGTGAAAACTTCAGAATGTTGGGGATCTGGACTCAGATTTTGGGTGCCCTTGTGTCCCGGGGGCCTGTTAGGAGCGAGCCCTGATTAAACAGCTGCTTTTCACATAAAATGAATATATACTTACAGCATAAGTCCAAGAAAGTGACTACATATTGTGGACATCTGCTCTAGGCAACATATACAATGAAATATGGGTATATCCTTGAGTTTCCAAAGTCCTTTACATCCTTTCAAGTTCAAGATAGCTTAGTTCACTACCTACTCTGATATTTTCCCACTGAACCATAATCTAGAAAGAATTCCTGAATGAATAGTAAAGGTTGCCTTACTTTGACGAATGCTTTAGGCCATTGAGTACTGCTCTTGTTTCTTAGATCAGCCCTGTCTTCAATCTTGTAAAATCGGATCTTCTGGTCTTCTAGCCATTCCACTAGGTTCCGCCAACAATTCTCATCTGTCATTCGCAGTTGGAAAGAAAATTACAAGTAGATATTGTGGTATTAAAAGAACTTTAAAGAAGGTAAGGGTTTGAATTCCGGTCATGCGTTTACGCATATTATTCCTGTCTCATCTGGTGCCCTACAAATGAAACTAAAAGAAATTTGCCCAAAGAGCACATTACATTACATTAAAATTGCAATTTGTTTCTCATTTGATATATTTTTTTATCTTATCTTCTAAATTATTCTTCCATACTTTTTCCCTTCATTCTTTTCACATGCTCATATTCTCATCAATTTTCCTTCCGATTCTCCTCACCGTTTGTCTGACAGTCTCACTTTCTTCCTTTGATTCCCCCCCCCCCTTTATTACCAGATCATTATCTTTAAGAGTTATATACTCTCATTTAAATCATTCTGCTTATATTTCCATTTCTCATCTCCATCATACTAAGTTCAAGTTTAATTTCTTCTTTCTCATAATTTACTCAATCTTACTTTCTGCTTTTTTCTTCACATCTATATCAGTTTCTTCTCCAAATAGATCTCATAATCTTCTACTTTTCTTCTTTCCCGGCCCCTATGTTCATTCATACATTGCTACTTCTTTTCTTCTTCTCTTTTAGTCAGATCTTCTCCGATATTCAGTATTCTCTTCTGCTTCTTCCTTTTTATCTTTCTTTATATTCCATCTGATTTTTTCCTTCCCTCTATGACAAGTCAATAATTTACTTTCTATTTTCACTTACTGTACCTCTTTTAAATCGCAGACTCAACTCTCCTAGACTACTCCTAGTACTAGTACTACTACTACTACAGTTGCACTAGGATTGCGTCTGTTTTTTTTAACCGCACATAGATAAATTATAGACCCTTTAGGCCCTAGATCTAGGCCTAGATCTACTTGTAGAGGTGTTGTGGTCGAGTGGATACGTCGCTGGACTGTCGATCACAAGGTCCGCGGTTCGAGTCCCGCCGCTGCACTAATGTCCTTTGGCAAGACATTGATCTACATTTGCCACACTCCACCCAGGTGAAGTAAATGGGTACCTGGTAGGAATTTATTCCTTGAAACGCAGCGCGCGTAACAGCTGCACTGCTAAAGCCAGGGTAATTATGCTGCATTATTGTAGAGCGCTTAGAGACTTCTGACAAAGTAAGTGTTAGGCGCCATATAAGCACTGTAATTATTATTATTATTATTATTACTTCTACTTCTACGTCGGTACTTGACAGGATCCATCAGTCAGGATATAACGTCAAGGTTGAAATGTCTGGCAAGGACAAGGTGCTCTTGTGCAGTACAGTCAGTTGGTGTATTATGTACAACTACAAGGTGCAAGTACTTAATCAGTTAATTGTCACTGACACTGACTGCACACATAGAAGCGTCACTATCCTGGCTGTGTAGTAAAAGCTGTGCTTGAGCAACATTTCAAACACCACTGTACAAAACTGATTTCACTCAAAATCGGTACTTAAGTGACAACTGACCATACCTAAATAGCAGTAAAATACATTTTTTTTTAACTTACTGATGTTAAAAAGAATAATTTAAAAGTTCAAATTATAAGTCTAGTGTCAAACTTTGCTTACAGCTGCATCGACATGATTGTGTAGAGTCTATGCGATATTGTGTGGTGTGTGTATTTGTGTATGGGTCTAATAATACCTAATAATATCACAGCAAGCATGCAGTGCTAGAGGTCAATACCCATTAGCATTGACTCTCTCCCGGCCCCCCCCCCTCCCCCACTCCGAGAACGGACGGACCACATGCGTGTTACCAAAATGTCCGGTAAAGGGGTACTTTTTGTGCGACAAAGTCCGGCCCGAGAATTGTAAAAAAGGGGTGTATTAACTTTTCACCCAGAGATTTCTTTAAAAAGGGGGTGTTTTTTCTCTTTTTCTCTCATCTCTTTGGACTCCTGAGAAATTTTTCTGAATTTGGGGGGGTAGACCTACTTTGAGCATTTTTCATGATTTAGGGGGGATTTAAGAAAAGCCCGCAAAATCGAAAGGGAGGTACATGTATAGAAATGTTGGCAGTCCTCAGATAGGGGGTGCTTTCAAAAAGAGGGAACAAGCATATGCGTACCCTAAATAACACTAGGGCACTTTAGCAACGAGACGGTACGCACAGGAGACGGTAACGCGAGCGAAAAAAAACAAACTGTGCATGCGCGAACCTGAAATCTCTCCGTCCCGTCGATTTTCGGAATGGTACTCGGCCAACTTAGCGTTCGTTCCCTAGACACGACATAAGAGAGAGAGCTGACAAATAATTTTTATCCAAATCTAACAATGCAGGGCACTACCATGACTACTGAAGATAAAAACAGGGAATCTACTAGTGTTTCCAATGTCTGTTCGATAAGTAGCTTATTCTATACCTCAATCTACAATAAATTGATGGTTTGGCCGTTTAGGCCTACTTTGGGGGCCCTTTTTCATCGTTATGCATGACGTGCCTGCACGCTGTGCACTACCGCCCACCGCTCCGGCCAAGCCTCAAGGCACCAGAGCACTAGCACCAAAAGGCAGCAGGCGTGCGGTTCAGCGCTGGAATTGGATACGGCTTTGCGTCCCCGTCGCCTTTAGCAGACAGCGAAAGCGCTTAAATATCACGACGGTAACAAGAGTGCGATACCCGTCACAGTTGGTTAAACACTCCGTCTCCTGTGCTTTCCGTCTTGTTGCTAAAGCGCCCTACTGAGTGTGGGGGGGGGGGCGGGGACTCTCTATGCTTTGCTGGAGTGACTGACCAACTGGTTAATTAAAAATACAAATGCAAATGTCAATTTTTCTTCATCAGATCAAGTTAACCCCCTATATAGCTATCCCCATTCTATTTATCTTACGTAATATAATATACAGATTATGGAATGAAAACATTTCATTCAACTAGATACGTTTTGTCAATAAGTTGAGGAGAAAATGAAGGAGATTGCAAAACCTAGCAAAATATTACACGTGTGGGACCGAGATACATACATTGATCAAATGGATAACAAATTATCTTACCATTAACATTAAAATCAGACTGTGGATTATTTAGAGCTTGCAGCTTTCTTTTAAACATGTTAATCCAGTGGAAAATGAAATAAATAAAAGAACAATGGGCTGAGATGAGGTGGAGTTTTGATGACAGGAACGTCGCTGAGGCAAAGTTTATTTCACGTTGCAATGTACGTAATCTAGCGCCAGCTAACGATCGCCAGCTGACATGCATGCAGCGCAAGAACCTTCTAGCTTCATATAAATTGAACTTTCTGCTTGAACTTTATTGGTTGATTTTTGTTTTGTATACACCACTTGATGAATTTGCCCACTTTGTGTATTACCATATGGGCGTCGCTAGAGGGAAGGGGAGTGCCGATGGGCAATTAAAATAAACTATATGTGGGCAAAACTTGTGGGGGAAATACAGTCCTGAGGAACTTTAAAAAAAAAAAAGAACCCGATGGCCTTTATGAATATGAGGATAGACGTGCGATTGTATTTTCAAACGTCAAGTCGTATATTATCTACATCACTATTTATCAGTCTATCACCATAATCATATCACCATCGTCGGATGACCCATGCACCATAGAGGTCTTAGGCGCGTATCCAGGGGGGGGGGGGGGGCGTTGGGGGTGGTCGCCCCCCCCCCCCCAAAAAAAAAAACCGCCGGCCCCCCAAAAAAAGAGAGAGAAAGAGAAGGAAAAAAGTAAGAGGACGTAGGAAGAAAAAGGGAAAAGGAGTCGAGGACAGTACAAGGAATCGTCTTCTTTCTCTAATAATTTAATGAAATGTCAAAGCTTCCGCGCTTTGCGCGGAAAGGGGGAAACTGAGTTCAAATTAAGGATTTAGAGTCGAGAACGGAACAACGAATCGTCTTCTTTCTTTAATAATTTAATGAAACTTCAAAGTCGCGCTTTGCGCGGGAGGGGAGGAAACTGAATTCAGATAAGGAAGAGCCGAGAACGGTACATCGAATCGTCTTCTTTTTCTAACTTAAAGATAAACTCCAATACTGGTAAAAAAAAAAAAAAAAATTCTCACAGAATCAAACGAAACTTACACTGAATGTTCAAGATTACAAATAAATGACATGTGCCAAACAATTTTGGAAGAAAATGTATACTGGCTGAGTAATGAGCATAGAAAGACAAGGAAATCAAGGTAGTACTAGCCCCGACACCATGTGTGTTGTCCCATATACACTCTTGTTTCCACGGCGTCAAATTTCACTCTAAATGGCGTCAGCTGGGAGTCAACTCTATTCCTAGTTAAAGTGACACGGATTCCGAATCAATTTGACTCGGATTGTGTGGCATCAGCTGAGAATTGACTCAATTCAGAGTCAAGATGACTCCTTTTCCGTGTCACTTTAACTAGGAATTGAGTTGACTCCCAGCTGACGCCATTTAGAGTGAAATTTGACGCTGTGGAAATAAGAGTGTATAGCTTTCTATGTGAGTGCTTGTTACTTAACCAAGACTCGGTCAAATTTATTATGATTTTGATGACTCCAGAACCTTGCAGTGCACACCAATACTTACATGCTACATGATCAACTGTTTCTGATCCTTTCACACGTTTTCTTTCACAATGCAATCGCATTACCAATACTAAAGTTTATCTTTAATGAAACGTCAAAGCTTGCGGGAGGGGGACTGAATACAGATAAGGATTAAGAGTCCAGAAAGGTACAACGAATCGTCTTTGATCTTTGTCTAATAATACGTCAAAGCTTTCGCGCTATGCGCAGGCCGGAGGGGCGAACTGAATTCAGACAAGGATGATGAGTCGAGAAAGGTACAACGAATCGTGTTCTTTGTCTAATAATACGTCAAAGCTTCCGCGCTATGCGCAGGAGGGGCGGACTAAATCCAGACAAGGATTATGAGTCGAGAAAGGTACAACGAATCATTTCAAGTTCTTTCAAAGATTCCGCGCTATATGCGCAGGAGGGGCGAACTGAAATCAGACGAGGATTATGAGTCGAGAAAGGTACAACGAATCGTCTTCTTTCAACGCTTTCTTTCAAAGAAAACTCCCCCCTTCCCTGCACCCACCCCCTAGGGATCGAGCGCGCTTCGCACGTTTTGCGTGCTCACTACCACCCCCTAAAATGAAATCCTGGCTATAGGACCGAGTTAGCTATTTCAGAAACAAGTATAATACTTTTAAAACGAAAATAATGTTTTTGTAGAAAGTAGCTTTTAGTAGGACTTATGGACCTCCAAATTATATAGCGGGATTGGACCGGATCATGAGCCTAGTTACTGCCCGGAGAGGGGTGAGAGGGGGGGGGGGGTACTTTAGAATTGTGATATGTTTGGGACTTGGGGTGGGGGCGGGTAGGGGGCTTGAACACTTTCGGACCTTTAAGGTTGTAGTGTACAAAGAGGTAATGAATGCAATCCGAAAATGAACCAAACATTTTTTTATTGGGGGTGAGGGTGATTGTGATGGTCACGGGTAAGGAGGTCTGATAAGGACTATATAGCGCCTTATATTGCAACACAATAATTAAAGTAACAAATGCCGTGAGAAATTTGTTTTCGTTTTCATTTTGGGGTGGGATATCTAGCCCTCGTAGCAACAAGAGGGCAGTTTTAAAGTCGTATCTTATTTGGCTTAAAATCTTGAAAATCTAACTTCCTTACTTATATGGAAAATATATCGTGCAATATATATTTACGAAAAGCTTGAATAATATTATGGTAGCTAATAAGATCGTCTTCTTTCAATTGATGTAACTCATAGGATGCATATTTCACGCATGAGTGATTAAACATAATTTGAAGAAAGGGTACCCAAAAAGTCATTTGGCGAACGGTATCTGAATTTCAAAGAGAAAATCACATTTCCAGAAAGTTCATTTTCTGCCCTTTCATATGACACCTCAACCAGGAAGAATGAGCCAGGAATAAAAAAGTTATGTTTGTTTAAAACAATGCTTGCATTTCCATTATTTTATTAGACGAATCCGTTCCGTTGGCTGTCTGCCCTAACAACAAAGAAGACGAAAGACTTCATGCATGGCTGATCGTCAATGAAACGGAGTTTGTGGTTTGTTGCTACGGCAGGCAGCCATTGAAAACGAATTAGTTTAATAATATAATGAAATGTGCATCGTATGAGTTGCATCAAATGAAAGAGGAGAATCTAAGCTTTACAAGTATGTGTCATTTATTAATTATGATTGTGATCAAGTGATGATAAAACATCGATAATTCTCGGTTTCGTTTTTTTTCTGGAACGCACTGTACATTCATCACCATTGTACAATCAACATCGAAACAATCATCATTGAAACAATCATTATCACAGTTTTTAAGAAATAAGGGTTTTCAATTTCATGTTGTGTCTTGTGATGGACTATGTTCTGTCATAAAATGATTTGATATCAGATTGTATATCGTGTTAAAAATGAATTACACTGTCTTTTTAAAGTTTTTTTTTTTGTGTGTTGATGTTCTGACAAACCTGTAAAAACAAAAAAACAATCATCATTATCACTACCATCCATTCATCATCATAAGTCATTACAATAATTTCCATTTTCACCATCTATTCTATTACCATCTATCAACATCATCCATCTATCCTAATCTCGAATTTCCCCTTCATCACCTGCACATCATCATCATCCATCTATCCTATACTTGAATTTCCCCTTCATCACCTGCACATCATCATCATCCATCTATCCTAATCTCGAATTTCCCCTTCATCACCTGCACATCATCATCATCCATCTATCCTAATTTCGAATTCCCCTTCATCACCTGCACATCACCATCATCCATCTATCATAATCTCGAATTTCCCCTTCATCACCTGCACATCATCATCATCCATCTATCCTAATCTCGAATTTCCCTTCATCACCTGCACATCATCATCATCCATCTAATTGATCTATCCTAATCTCGAATTTCCGTTCATCACCTGCACATCATCATCATCCATCTATCCTAATCTCGAATTTCCCTTCATCACCTGCACATCATCATCATCCATCTATCCTAATCTCGAATTTCCCCTTCATCACCTGCACATCATCATCATCCATCTATCCTAATCTCGAATTTCCCCTTCATCACCTGCACATCATCATCATCCATCTATCCTAATCTCGAATTTCCCTTCATCACCTGCACATCATCATCATCATCATCCATCTATCCTGATCTCGAATTTCCCTTCATCACCTGCACATCATCATCATCCATCTATCCAAATCTCGAATTTCCCTTCATCACCTGCACATCATCATCATCCATCTATCCTAATCTCGAATTTCCCTTCATCACCTGCACATCATCATCATCCATCTATCCTAATCTCGAATTTCCCCTTCATCACCTGCACATCATCATCATCCATCTATCCTAATCTCGAATTTCCCTTCATCACCTGCACATCATCATCATCCATCTATCCTAATTTCGAATTTCCCCTTCATCACCTGCACATCATCACCATCACCATCTATTATCCCTATCCTTATATCCTAATCTCCACCATCTCCTGCACAGGGTGTATAATCACCATCCTTATAGCAATCTCCACTTTCTCCATCATCACCTGCACATCATCATCATCACCATCCTCACCATCTATTATCCTATATTATCACCATCCGTATGTCCTAATCTCCACTTTCTCCATCATCACCTGCACAACATCGTCCTTATCAACATTTGCACCATCATTATTTCCTTCATCGCCATCTTTTAACCATCATCTTTATTTTAGGCATCACGACTTATTGGTTGAATAGTTAATATTTGTGGATTAATGTATGTTGACCAAGTTATCGTAGACATTTGGCTCGTGAAGCAAGACAAAGCATCCCCAACATTTTTTTCTCTAACAAAAAATGATTACAATAGTAACAGATAATCATAACTAGTAACATCACCCTCATCATCACCGCAACCCCCCTCATCATCTCCAGCATTTACCCTAGCCTCATCCACACGTAATCATTAATAACACAAACATCATCAAGACCATCACCATTTATCACCGTAATCACCATCCATCATCTCCACGTTTACCATCATAACCACCATTATCATCATCACGATCCGTCACCATTATCGACTTTATCCCTACTATCATCACCACCACCATCACTATAGTCAGCATAAACATCATAATCCTCATCACCACCATCATCATGTTAAGCCCACCGCACACCATCTGATTTGTCAAAGATATTATGGAAATCTAAACAAAAGTTATCCTCGTGATGTACGTTCTGAATTATGATAAGCATTCTCAGAACATGAAATTTAGAGCATTTAAGGCTTTTGGTCATTTTTGACATCATTAGGATTCTGAGCCGATTTAGCTTTTCCTCCTTCAAGAAAGCTTGAAATCCCATGAAATTGATATTTGATTAAACATAATGAGCATTCAGATCCTTGATCAATCAAATGTTGCACTTTGAATATTCATACCAAATGCTATCGTAATTTCTTCCAAAATCGGATTGTAGTAAGATCGTATAGTGTGCGGTTGGTTTTCAACTTCTCCATGTTATTATTTAACATTTGAAATAATACTATTTGACTTATACATCATAGGCTTATTTGTATCGCCGTACAAAAATAATTAATTAGAATATCATCCAGCACTATTGTAATTAAAGTCTGTGGTTTGGGGGCTAACATCACACACAATTCTCCTTTGTTTTTTTGTAAAGACAAATAAACCGACGAATGATATCAGCATTAATTTTCAATAGTTTTATTCACACAATATGAAATTTAACAATCTGTCACCACACAGTCGATGAAATTGATCAATCTGACGCTGAAAGTAAGGTTATCATAGTTTCATTATAATTTGCATGCAAGCATAAATCTTCTGATCAATATACAAAGTTCATGAAACAATTAACAAACGATATAATGTAAAAAAAAAACAACAACACACACATACAGTGTTGTGGGAAGAATGGAAATTAACGATAGTAACTGCAACATTTCCACTAAAAATTTCCTCATGACAGATCGTTTTTAATGTTTTTTTTAATGCCCGTTTTTCCCCGTCTTCTTTTTTTCCTGTTTTTTTCTTTTTCTCTCCCTCGCTCTTTTGCTATCAACGTGACAAATCCTGATGGAGAAGTTAAATTGTGGGCAACTTAATAAATTGATCCAATTCATATGAATCAACATGAACATATAATTATCATTTTGCAACAGGCTTTACACTGAGATGCACAAACAGATTTGAGTTGAACTTTTTATTTTTTACTTCTCTTTAATTTATTCAGTTTTTAGTAGTCTTTGTGAAATGAGAATATGATCCAAATACAAGTATGGAAGTATTTTCTCATGAAATCCAACATACAAAAATCCAACATACAAAAAGCACAAAACCATGAAGAAAGAGCACTGACTATGAGGGATTGAAAATTGAAAATAAAAAACACCATTATTTTTTTCCTAGAGACACCACTCTCAAGGATAGTACAATTAATGTTAACACAACTATGTTCTTTATCTTTGAGTTATGACAAAATCAAAAGTATAATAAGAGGGTGTCAAGGTTTAACCTAGGATAAAGTAAAGATTTTGTTGAAGAAAAGCTCCAAACTAGAAAAGGTCTCATTTTGGACTTGGAAATAATTTCATAAACTTATTCCACTGATAATAGGGTTCTATATTTATATGGGGAGGAGTAAGGTTTGTCTATGTAACATTCATTACATTATAAACACACATATATATTTAACTACAAAGACCTGCCTCTTGCCACATTTCAGCAATTGTATTGCTTGCACACCTGGAAGACATGTTATCTTGAAATGCTGTGTACATGTATTATTTATTTTGCGTTGTGCTGGAAAGTTTCATTAATTCAGCCATTTCTGCTGCTTGTTTATCTAATAACATGCTCTGTGCATATATTTTTATGTTAAAGAACATGTAATACATCACTGATTACCTACATTGTAGTAAATATTTCACACCAAAATATCAAAGCCCCCCCCCCCTCCCCCTTCCCTGTTCAGGATTCTCCCAAGGAGCACTTTTTGTAAGTAAGTAATCTATGGTTCAATTGAAAAAAAAGATCAAATTAGAAAGACAATCAAACATGAGAAACAATTTAATACCCTTTTTCATTATCTGTTGTGGACAATGTTTATTAAAAGAACATTCATGGGTTTATCTCTGTATTTCAGACTATGTATTGCAGCAAATTCTTTGTTTCAATTAGAACATTGATGGAGCTTTTCCCCTGGGTGTATTCTCATGTGCATTGTAAGAAAATTCTTTTTCCTAAATCTTCTGTTGCAATAAGAACAAAGGTAAGGTTTTTCTCCAGTGTGTAATCTCATATGTCTCTCGATTTCAGATTTTGTGTAAAAAGCTCTGTCACACAAAGAACAATGGTGTGACTTTTCTTCAGTGTGCTTCCTCATATGTTGAGACAGACTACGATTAAAATTAAATTTTTTATCACAGAAAGAACACTGTAGTTTCTCATCGGTGTGTATTCTCATATGTTCTTTTAGATAAGACTTGTTAAAAAATGTTTTGTTGCAATAAGAACACTGATACGGCTTTTCTACTGTGTGGGATGGCACATGTCGTGAAAGACTGTCTGTTGTAGGGAATGTTTTGTTACAAAATGAACATTCATATGGCCTTTCTCCAGTATGAGTTTTCATGTGACGTTTCAGATTGCCTTTTTCTGAACACATCATATTGCAATGGGAACACTGATATGGTTTTTCACCTGTGTGGGTTCTCATATGTTTTAAGAGATGACTCCTTTGTGAGTATGCCTTGTTGCAGTCTGAACACTTGTGTGGCATTTCTCCTGTGTGAATCCTCAAGTGTTGCATGAGGCCCTGCTTGTATGAATATCTATGATTGCACTCATCACATTTGAATGGCTTTTCTCTTGTGTGGGTTCTCATGTGTTCTGTCAGACGACTTTTGATAGAAAATTCTTTATCGCACTCAGAGCATCGATATGGCTTTTCTCCAGCATGTGTTCTCATATGTCTAGTGAGAATAGGCTCTGTGGAGAATTCTTCATTACAGTTTAAACACTTGTTTTGAATTGATTCCACTTCCAATTTCTCATCACTTTCCAGAGTATCCATCTCTTCACGCTCGTCTTGAAAACATCCTGGAGCAACACCAAAAACACTTCCTTCTTCAAAGTATGTCTCTTCGTCTTGTATAGGACTCTGAGAATAGCAATTCATTGCACACTTTTCTTCAGAGTGATCTGACTGAGTTACCAACTCAGCTTTTATAGGAAAATTAGAAACTGTACTCTCTGTAGCTTCACCCTTTCCTTCCAAATCAGTGACTTGTCTCTCATTATAATTAGGTGATCTTTCTTCTGAAATATGCAGGGGTGACATTAAAGTTTGACTGGTGTTATCCCTGTCATCGGTGTGTATTCTCATATGTTCTTTTAGATAAGACTTGTTAGAAAATGTTTTGTTGCAATAAGAACACTGATACGGCTTTTCTACTGTGTGGGATGGCACATGTCGTGAAAGACTGTCTGTTGTAGGGAATGTTTTGTTACAAAATGAACATTCATATGGCCTTTCTCCAGTATGAGTTTTCATGTGACGTTTCAGATTGCCTTTTTCTGAACACATCATATTGCAATGGGAACACTGATATGGTTTTTCACCTGTGTGGGTTCTCATATGTTTTAAGAGATGACTCCTTTGTGAGTATGCCTTGTTGCAGTCTGAACACTTGTGTGGCATTTCTCCTGTGTGAATCCTCAAGTGTTGCATGAGGCCCTGCTTGTATGAATATCTATGATTGCACTCATCACATTTGAATGGCTTTTCTCTTGTGTGGGTTCTCATGTGTTCTGTCAGACGACTTTTGATAGAAAATTCTTTATCGCACTCAGAGCATCGATATGGCTTTTCTCCAGCATGTGTTCTCATATGTCTAGTGAGAATAGGCTCTGTGGAGAATTCTTCATTACAGTTTAAACACTTGTTTTGAATTGATTCCACTTCCAATTTCTCATCACTTTCCAGAGTATCCATCTCTTCATGCTTGACTTTAAAACATCCTGGAGCAACACCAAAAACACTTCCTTCTTCAAAGTATGTCTCTTCGTCTTGTATAGGACTCTGAGAATAGCAATTCATTGCACACTTTTCTTCAGAATGATCTGACTGAGTTACCAACTCAGCTTTCATAGGAAAATTAGAAACTGTACTCTCTGTAGCTTTACCCTTTCCTTCCAAATCAGTGACTTGTCTCTCATTATCCTTAGGTGATCTTTCTTCTGAAATATGCAGGGGTGACATTAAAGTTTGACTGGTGTTATCCCTGTCATCGGTGTGTATTCTCATATGTTCTTTTAGATAAGACTTGTTAGAAAATGTTTTGTTGCAATAAGAACACTGATACGGCTTTTCTACTGTGTGGGATCGCACATGTCGTGAAAGACTGTCTGTTGTAGGGAATGTTTTGTTATAAAATGAACATTCATATGGCCCTTCTCCAGTATGAGTTTTCATGTGACGTCTCAGATTGCCTATGTCTGAACACATCATATTGCAATGGGAACACTGATATGGTTTTTCACCTGTGTGGGTTCTCATATGTATCAAGAGATGACTCCTTTGGGTGAATACTTTGTCACATTCTGAACACCGATGTGGCTTTTCTCCTTTGTGGCTAGTCATGTGTATTCTGATATATCTCCTTTGAGAGAAAAAATTGTTACATTCTGAACACAAATATGGCTTTTTCCCACTGTGGGTAGTCAGGTGTTCTGTCAGACGACTTTTGATAGAAAATTCTTTATCGCACTCAGAGCATCGATATGGCTTTTCTCCAGCATGTGTTCTCATATGTCTAGTGAGAATAGGCTCTGTGGAGAATTCTTCATTACAGTATAAACACTTGTTTTGAATTGATCCCACTTCCAATTTCTCATCACTTTCCAGAGTATCCATCTCTTCATGCTTGACTTTAAAACATCCTGGAGCAACACCAAAAACACTTCCTTCTTCAAAGTATGTCTCTTCGTCTTGTATAGGACTCTGAGAATAGCAATTCATTGCACACTTTTCTTCAGAGTGATCTGACCGAGTTACCAACTCAGCTTTCATAGGAAAATTAGAAACTGTACTTTCTGTAGCTTTACCCTTTACTTGCAAATCAGTGACTTGTCTCTCATTATCCTTAGGTGATCTTTCTTCTGAAATATGCAGAGGTGACATTAAACTTTGGCTGGTGTTATCCCTGTCCATATGTTCATCTGAGGAAAGAAAATAACAGAGTCTGTAGTTTAATGTAACACTTAAAAATACAGTCAGCTCCAATTATCTTCACAGCTAAATAGGAAGCTGGTATAGCTTTGTCACAAGTGGGTTCTTATATATATATATTCAACTCCAGAAGAGTCCCGATAGAGTGACATAGCCTAACAAGGAGAGTGCTCAGCTGAAGAAAAACAAGGGAAACGCACTCGCCGGTCTCGCCTGCATTACGCAATTCGATATGATGAAAAATTGAGGTTGGAACATTATTAATAGGCAGGGTGGCCCATTAGCAGGCCCCCCAAAATGAAATCCTCTAAATATAATCAGCATTTTGAAGTGAATATTGATTAAGAATCATGAACAAATAAGAAAAATTGATTCATTTATTCTTATATTAAGTTGTGAAAACATAATCCAAGTCTACTGACCTAAAATAACCTTTGACCTTGTGACCTGGAATTTGTGTCATATGACTTGTGATACTTGATAACCTTTGGATACAAGTTTCATGGAAGTTGAACAAACATTTTTGAAAATATGCTAAAAATTCAAAATCTTAAAGTTGATACCACAAAAAAGTCTAAGTTTGTTGACCTGAAATGACCTTTGACCTTGACTTTGTGACCTGAAATTCAACTCACATGATTAGGGATACTTAATAACTCTATAGTCCAAGTTTCATTGACTAAGGACTTATACTTTCAAAATTATATCAAAAATTCAAAAACTTAACCTTAGGTTCAGTTTTTGATGTTGACGCCACCGTCGCCGCCGCCATCGCCGTCACCGGAAAAGCGGCGCCTATGTCTCGCTATTTTGCTACGCAGGCAAGACAAAAACCAGAACACTGACATGGTACTTTTCATAAGTTCTTGTATGGCTTGACAATTTTCTTACAATATAAAATGCTATTATACTGCAAATACAGAAGATATGTTTTCTTCTGTGAGTGGTATATCATACTTTTAAAAAAAAGAATTGACTGTCCGTGATAAGGATTTCCACAAATACTAAAACAATATGTTGGATTTGTGTTATTCAATATTACTCACAATTCATTCTCCTATATTCGTTTTTCAACATCTGCCTGAGGTAAAATATTCTGCAATCGACTTTTAATGCTAGTTAATGTCTTAGGCTTAACCATATACCTTAAAGTGATACTGAACGGATGAACTTTTTGCCCTATTGCTACAGTTAATTGCACAGGGCCATCTGTAGTCCAGATTCAGTCCGTTCGTTCTTTTTATCCCCCACACACAGCGCGGTCTCTCCACTGATCGCGCAATCCCCAAATTTCTATCCACACGAACGAGGTCCAGATTTAGAGGAATGGCTAGGTCTACTTTCAACGTTGAGGGTGTGTTATTTTATCAGCCGATTGGGTGCGCTAAACGAAAACGGTACAGAGGCTGGACTAGGCCATCTGATGATCCTCTTGCCAACAGTGTGTGACCCAATACCTAATTTCTGCAGACTGTGCAGACAGAAGACTCGATGCGAAAACCAACAGTGCAGCTAGGGAAGCATGGGACCATACTGCTATATCTGACCTGCGATGGCACTAGAGGGAATTTTGTGGTAGTGCTTTTAGTACAGTATGGCTTTAAAGCCTACCCTTATGCAAATACTTAATCTGAAAGCGAATCGCTGCAACCCTGCAACCCTAAATCTGTGACCAAATAAAGCATGGAGCAAATATCAGATCACTGTGTTCAACCTACCATTGTAGAACCAAATCCCAATTCATCCATTTCTGCAACTCTTTCTTGAAGAAAACAAATATGCTGATTTTGTATGTGACTATACTGCTAAGGCATCATTCCCTCATCAGACTTTCTTTGAGCTGAACTTCATTGTAGATTGAGGGCGCTATTCTTAAACCTATGTTATCCATCATATTAGTGGAAATATGTTACTTGATATAACAAATTGAAATTTTATGGCATAATACCTTACTAATGGTGGTCCGGTTGTGCAGCTCTGAATTATAGTTGATAAGCTAAATTACATACTTTTGCTAACATAAAACATGATTTTAAATTTTTTTAAAAAATTCAACCCTGGGTTGGTGATGTAGCCTGAATGGAAATTAAGAAACCCTTTCCAACAATTTACCATCTGTTTGTAGATCAAGGAATAGTCTTTCATCAACCTCTGGTTCTGAATCTCCTGAAATTTCTACCTTGATGCCCTCTGGTATCCAACCTGAATAAAAAAAGATAACACAAGTTTACCATTAAAACAATCTAAACATTGTGTTTAAAGACCGTCAGTACTAGTTTGGCTAGGAGGAATTAGACCACACAGCGAGGTCACTGACAGGTCGCTATCTCATCAACTCAGCTCTCAAATAACATAAGACATAGAGGATCATGGGGGACCAACAGGCACCGATTGGGGAAGTTTTCTATATAGAGGGAGCAAGTAGCTACAAGTAGGACAGCGGAGCTTTAAAGGAATACAGACTTATCATCATCATCTTACAATCACTATTAAAATAGACAAATTTGTAAGCTATCTAGCATCATTTAAAGATATTCATGCGTGGGTATATAGAGGGCAGCACACAGACACAGCAGTAATCTTCCAAAGGAAACTCAGTGTGTACATCAGAGCGGTTTCAGAGTACCGGGCGTATTACCATAATAATCGTACATAATACAGTCATAGAAAGTCTGCATGAACAAACAGTGCAAATGCATGCATGCGATATACAGTTAGCTAGCTGCTGCCGGTGCTGCTATACTGAAGAAAGTCTTCATCTGCCTTCTCCATTCATTACGTACATCGTACAGGTCGATTTGATGTGGTCTATGATTGCTTTTCACCTCTTTTGTCTCGATCCTTCCTCCTCCTCCATTTTGTCTCAGTTTTCTTTCAAAAAACTCTTTTTGTTAAAACGTTTTCGCATGTAAAAAGTGAAACGTCATGTAAGCGTATGCTGCATGCTCGCTAAAAGTGATCTAACACTGCCCGGATATTGACCACATTAACATAATCTCTGAAATCACATATCAATAAATATTAAATTTTAAAACTAAATTACAAGCAGTCAATCCAAACTCAAGATAAATCAGGCGCAGCACTAGCACTAGACTCGGTCGTTTGTGAAGTAAGGCAAGTTGGCGATCACTACAAAACACTGAGCCAACGGGTATTTCGCTCCTGTGCGTTAAAAGTTCGCAACATGGTGAAGGTATCGCACGTCTATGTGCTGCTCTCTATATACCCACGCATGAACATCTTTGAATAGATATAACATTGCTCTAAATTTGAACGTTTCCTGCTTCTTAAGGCTACCGTACTTAACAGCCAGGTTGTAGGTATTTTGGGCATAAATTATGATGTGAATATGTGCATAATAAAGCCGTGTTCACATGAGGTGTCAAGTTGCACTTAAAAATGATGACATGAATAAGTAGTATGTTGTGCAACCCTACAAAATTGCCATTCATCAAAACATGTTTTGTCACAAAGACTTTTGGAGATGGCTTTCTACATCATATCTGAACAGGGCTTATATGTCAATGTTGCTATCTTCAATATGATTAATGATTACCTTGATCTGATGATGTAGCCCCTTCTGTTGGCTGCATACCGTCCATGTCATTGTCCGCCCATTCATCTTCTAAAACTTCTTCCTTGATCCACAAAACCCGGTAGCGACTCTCGCATTTTGATGGCTCTACCTCTTCAGACATCTTAAAATTGAAGCCCTCATGAGCGCTCGACTCTAAATCCTACATTTTGAAGGAAAACAAGGAGAGAGATAGGAGAATTAAGACCTTACCACGGTACATAGGGTCAAATAATTTGAATTACCGGTACTCAAATTTTGAATGGGTCCATTCCAAATGCTGAAAATATCATTGAGTGTTGCAAAAATAGAGGCATAAACTTTGAGCAGTCACATTAATTATAGTGCCAGAAAGAGACAAAGGTTGAAACCATTATACAATGATGATTAAAGGTAATACAAAGTTTTGGTAAATTTTGAAAATTTGGTGGATAGTGATTCTTAACAATTTTGATATATTTGGATGCCCGTATTATAAGCACACAAAATTTTGGCACCTAAAACACTCCTGTTTTCGAGAAAAGTGGAATATAAAAATTTACCGTAGCTCCCGGTAAATTTTGATAAATTTCAAATAGCGCCTACGGCCGTACCATGGTAGCTGCGACCATGAAAATCTCAGAATATGTAGTTGTGAAATATAATTTCCAAACGGGAATAGCTAATAGGCCGATTTTAGTCAAGAAACATTGTTTTATAGCTTAATTAATATCTTGACCTTGAGAGGGAGCTATACAACATAAAGAGTTTATTATTTACAATTTCATAACTTTAGACTCGATTTCAACTGCGACAACGATCACTGAATAGTATATAGGATCGCATATGCTTCCAATATATTCATTTGAACCAATTTTATGACCCCATACCAAAACTTTGTATTACCTTTAAGATAATATTCATAATAAAGAGAATATTGTAGGATCGAATATGCTCCCAATATGTTCATTTGAACCAAATTCATGACCCCATACCAAAACTTTGTATCACCTTTAACTCTCAGGTAAAGCATTCATGTTATAGACAGAGATACAACAGTGCAACAGTACAATTACATACCATACCGACGGTGGAATGCGGGCACGCACGTGTGATCAGTTAGCGACCGTAAACTAAGATTACAGTCGCTAACTTAAGTCTTAACACACGCACGCACCAGCACCCGACCGATAGTATGGTAGACCTATATGTAATTGTACTATAGGCCTACAGAATTGTGCTTCAGTTTGCTGCATCCAGTGAGAAAGTGCATATTAATTATTAGAAGTCTTCGTTTTTAGGAAAAATACTCAGAAAACAATAAGAAAATAGACACAAAACAGGTAACAAAATAAACAAACATATCGACTTTAAAATCATGACCTTTGTTTGGACATTTTTTTGATGAATATTTAGATCTAACGACACGTTACTTCATAAGTTCATAGAAATATTTTTGGGTATGTTTTAGTCCCGGTTTTAGTAGATCTAGATCTAGGGACCTCCACGCCGGAGTTACGGGTCACATTTTGGATAGGTTTCTGAACAAGCACCCAGCTCTGGACAATAGTGCTGATTTCTAGCGATGTCCGGATTCCATTCAGAAGATTTCCTCCCAGTAAGAAATTGCTCAACCTCGGGAAACGAAAATGGTTATCCGACAATTATTTGCACGTATGGGACTGGTCCGCTAACAGTAACACTGTGAAAATTAACCAAGTTTCCCCCAAATTTATTCAGTTAAAGGCATTTTAGATTATCACCAGTACAGCAACATGAAAGTAACAAGTAGCTGGTGTAAATTTCATGAGCGCTTAACTATACAAAAGAGTGTAAATGTTATCAAATATAGATATTCAAATGCAGAACTTACCGTTTACTCTCTCTGCAGACGGCAGCCCCGATTTACAAGGTCGTGACGTCACGGGAAGTTAGTTCGCGATTAAATTTAAACCACCGTACCCTCTTGACGTCTAACTATTGTTAGTCCGCCTTCGAGAATACCGAAAAGGTTAGTCCATGGTTTAAACTAGGTTTAATCCATCGACTAAAGTTAGTCTGCTTTCGAGAGGGCCACCCTTGAAATCTACGGTCGGCTTTTAAATTATTATTTCTTAAACCGTTTTTTAGAGAAAACAAATATGAGAAATATACCAACCCATAAAGAGAGAGAAAAAAAAAATCCGACCGACCCATGTTTTGGCATCTTAATGGCAATACAACATCTTTTTTTTTGAAGGCCTAATTGGCGACCGATATCTAAATTGCAGCACGTGTTTTGTCAATACGGCTACAACAAAATATGCCAAGTGCAGTGAAGTATAATTTCAGCCGATCAAAGAGGTTTTGAAAAGGGTAGAATGGCAAATGAAAACATAAGACTTGTACAACAAGAGTCATATTATTTTAAGATTTAAAAGAGGCGTTTTATGATCCGGTTGATGATATAAATCACTCACTTCTTATTGAGACATTGAAACAGTAAGCATTTCAAGCCCTTTATAAGATGGACTAAAGCTTTATATACAAATGCCCATGGTAGGGTGTCACAGCATGGGTGGCTATCTGAAACATTTCGGCCCGAATTTTGTCGACAAACCTACTCGGGTTTATATGTGCGTTATGACGCGTTGCGTTTCAGACCAAGGTTCAGACAAAGTTTTAACCTTGGTCTGAAACGCGTCAAAACGCGTCTACAAACCTCCTTTGTGCATTCGGGCCATCATAATAAGGGCGTTTGCCAAGGCTGCCCAGTATCAGCTTCATAAGTTATATTAGTGGCAGAAAAATCCGTAGACACCCTGGCGTAGTGATGGGGGGGGGGGATGGGGGCAGTTGACCCCCCCCCCAATAAAATTCAAACGAGTCGTTGCGATTTTTTTTGGACTCAAAAAAAAAAAAAAAAAAGGTCCGCTTACCCCCCCCCCCCCCACCCCCCCCACCCCCCCCCCCCACCCCCCCCCCCCCCACTGAGCGACTTTTCGGCCGGCGCGATTTTCAAATTTTCGGGAGCAAAATAATAAAGTTGAGTTGTTGCGAAATTTTGGGCCCGATTTTAAAACCCCTCCCTTGAAAAAATCCTGCGTACGCCACTGGGCCGAAGTGTACCTTTACCTTCGTAATTGCCCTTTTTACTTTGACACGAGCACCTATTCTTTTGTGATGGGGGGGGGGGATGGGGGCAGTTGACCCCCCCCCCCAATAAAATTCAAACGAGTCGTTGCGATTTTTTTTGGACTCAAAAAAAAAAAAAAAAAAGGTCCGCTTACCCCCCCACCCCCCCCCCCTCCTTTCCATATAACATGCACTCCTAATTCAAGGCGACTTAAAGCCCATTTTTCTTTAATTTTGCCTATAGCTCGCATCAATAGATGTTATAATAATGTTACTTATAAAAGAACTTTTCAGTCCTTTTTCATTAGATCGTGCTTAATACTCATCAGGGTTTGTTTTTGTCTTTCTTTATAATATATAATTCTTCGCACTTCTTTCTTTATTATCGATAAATGACGAACTGTCTCTCAACAGCCATCGGTTCACTTTATAACTATAATAATTAGCAAGATCTCAAAAACTGTATAAAGGAATTATTTGTAAACTTTGTGATTTTTTGCCACAAAAGGAAATGTATAAAAAAAAATACTTTATAATTGTCTAGCCTTATCTTATCTTCAGTATTGTAATATTATTTGGGCGAATGTTGGAACAACGAAATTGGAACCTTTACACAAATTACAAAAGAAAATTTTGAGAATACTGTATGCACAAATTCTTCCTTCAGATCACATTCACGACCATTATTCTTCCGTTTAAAAAACCTAAATAAAATATGATATTCATAGAATTCAAATTGCATTAGTAATGTTTCGTACAATAATATTACTCTTTGCGATGTTTGCCAAATGTTTGCCATAAATAGATGGGTCCATTATCACAATACTCGCTCAATTAATACATTTCATTATCCCAAAGTTAAAACACAGATTTTACTTTATAACTCATTAAGACACAATGGTACACTAAGACACATTGGTCCACGCGTGTGGAATAATCTTTCAGGGGGAAGTAAAGAGTTCAACAAATATAACTTTATTCAAAGCAAAATTGAAAAGGGTATAATTGATGATTATTCAAGTTAATTTGTTTTTTCATTGAATTCACAATTACCATTACCCCCACCTTCCCTGTATGATTGCTGGTGTTTGTTGGTGTAGTGTGTTACTAGGATTACCTATTTAATCTGTATAATTTTGTATTTTGTTATTGCTATTATACATGTGTATAGGCCTACCGTACATTTTCCCTTTACTAAGAACTACTCTGTACAAGTTTTTATAATTTTTTTGTGTAGTTTCCGTTTTTCTCTTACTATACGTAAATTTGCCATGTGTGTATATAATTATTATAATAGTGTTTTTATGCTTGAATGTATAAATTGAACTGAACTGAACTGAACTGTCATCCCTGGTATTGTAGTTACAATCATGACGATGAAGGGCAATGTCTAAAAATGGTGTACAGGGGCAGAACTAGCTTTTTGCTAAGGGGGGGGGGGGGGGCGAAATTTGAAAATCGCGCCGACCGATATTTGCGAGTGACGAGGGAGCAGTGGCGTAACGTTCGGGGGGGGGGGAGAGAAAATCACCTCAACTCTCTATTAAGTTACATGCAGGCCCAACGGAACGTTTTTCAAAGTGGGGGGGGGGGGGGGTACTAGGTACTAAAGTATTTACGATCAGCTAGAGCAAAGCGAGCGAAGCAAGTGGAGCGTAAATTGGCGTGGGGTTAGCCCCACGAAGCTTATGAGTTTTAGGCATGTAATAACGGTCAGATGAGCATCCAGGGGGCCGCCTTAGGGCACATGGTAGGGTAAAAGGGGGCGGATCCCCCGGAAGATCAGGGTTTTGGCATTTTATTACGGTCAGATGAGCAAGCCGGGGGCCTTAGGGCCTTTGGTGGGGTCCAGGGGGCAGAGCCCCGGAAGCACAGGGACAAGCATGCCATATTTCAGCACCAAATTTTGTAAATCGCTGGTATCGAATTAGAAATGAACCACGTTTGAACTTAATCAGGGAGGGGAGGGGGGGGGGGGGGGGCAACTGCCCCCCCCCCCCCACCATTACGTCAGTGCGAGGTACCATAGTGAATGAGAAGGCTGAAGGTGACGGAAGTGATTACCCCCTCACAGGTTTTTGAAGTTTCGTTGTATTACAAAAATACTCTCCTTAGCAAAACTATAGTATAAAAACAAGCAATATACTTTTTTCGCTTATCTTTTCTACAATATTTACCTGAACAGTAGCGTAGCTCCCGAGCGAGAAGATTTTTTCATTTGCATTTGTCTATACATTGTACTCTTGGGCCCTCCAGAGCCTAAACCTTTGTTGCAGTCTTTAATCAGTATTTGCTATACACTTTTTGAGATGTCATTTATCTTTATTTTGTATATGCCTGGGATGGGGTGGAGGTTAGGGTGTGGCTATAGGCAGGCGCGGATCCAGGATTTCTTAGGGGGGGGGGCCCAAATTTGAAATTATGTGAGCCAAATATTGGTACGTAATGGTGAGCAGCATTGACGTAATGGAGAGGGGGGGGGGGAGGGTGCAGGAAGGGGTGATTTTCTCTCTCCATTCTCCGCAAAGCGCCGAAGCTTTGACGTTTCATTAAATTATCAGAGAAAGAACACGATTCGTTGTACTGTTCTCGACTCTTAATCCTTGTCTGAATTCAGTCCCTCCACCCTTCTGCGCGAAGCGCGGATGCGTTGACATTTCATTTAATTATTTGAGAAACAAGACGGTTCGTTGTACCGTTCTCGAAAATAATCCTCGTCTGAATTCAATTTCCCCCACCCGCGCGAAGCGCGGAAGCTTTGACGTTTCATTAAATTATTAGAGAAAGAAAACGATTCGTTGTAACGTTCTCGAAAATAATCCTCGTCTGAATTCAATTTCCCCCACCCACGCGAAGTGCGGAAGCTTTTACGTTTCATTCAATCATTAGAGAAAAAAGGGGATTCGTTGTACCATTCTCGACTCTTAATCCTCGTCTGTATTCAGTTTTCCCCCTCCTCCCTCTCCCGCGCGAAGCGTGGAAGCTTTGACGTTTCATTAAATTATTAGAGAAAGAAGACGATTCGTTGTACCATTCTCGACTCTTAATTCTTGTCTGAATTCAGTTCCCCTTCCCCCTCCCGCGCGAAGCGCGAAAGCTTTGACGTTTCATTAAAACTATTAAAGAAAGAAGACGATTCGGTGTATACCGTTCTCGACTCTTAATCCTTGTCTCAATTCAGTTCCCCCCCCCTCCTGCGCGAAGCGCGGAAGCTTTGACGTTTCATTAAATTAACGAAGGAAGAATTAAGACGATTCGTATTACCATTCTCGATTCTTAATCCTTGTCTGAATTCATTCTCCCCCCCTCTTGCTCCGAAGCGCGGAAGCTTTGACGTTTCATTAAATTATTAGACAAAGAAGACGATTCGTTGTACCATTCTCGACTCTTAATCTTTTGCCCCCCCCCCCCCCCCCCCCCCACTCCGGGGTCGGAATGACCGCATGCGTGTTACAAAAATGTCCGGTAAGGGGTACTTTTCGTGCGACAAAGTCCGGCCCGAGAATTGTCAAAAAAGGGGGTGTATTTGACTTTCACCCGGAGATTTCTTTAAAAAGGGGGTGTTTTTTTCTTTGTTTCTCTAATCTCTTTGGCCTCCTTAGAAATTATTCTGAATTTCAAAAATGTTTTTTTTTGTTAGCTCTTTTTTCTTCCTACGTCCTCTTCCTTTTCTCCTCTCTCTTTTTGTGGCCGGCGTTTTTTTTTTTTTGGGGGGGGGGGGCGGCGCCCCCACCGACCTTTGGATACGCGCCTGCGGTCAGATGAACATGCTTTGATACCTTGTCCGCCCCCGGAAACTCGGGGGTTAAAGGTAATAAACTGCGGTCAGATAAGCATTCAGGGGCCCGCTTCAGGGCACCCTTGTGGGGTCGAGGGTGCGGAAACCCCGGAATCTCAGGGGTTTTAGGCATTTGATTACGGTCAGATGAATATATTTTTTTACCTTATTTGTAAGTTCACTGTAAACTCACTGATTGGCGTGAGGTCCAGCAGGCGGAGCCCTCAGAAGCTCAAGGGTTTTAGGCACTAAATTACGGTCAGATGAGTATCAAGGGGCCCACCTTAGGGCCTTTGGTTGGGTCCAGGGGGCAGAGCCCCCGGAAGCTCAGAAGTTTTAGGCATTTAATTACGGTCAGATGAGCATTTTTTGAAACCTTGTTTTGTTGTGACACTGGCAGTTAACTATTCTTTCTTTCTTGCTATTTCTTTCTATTTCTCTTTAATATACTTTTTCAAAAAAAGTGGGGGCGGGGGAGCTGGAGGCTCCCAATCCCCGCCGTTCCGCGGGCCCTGACATCTCAAGAAGCATATTTCTTGCCTGGCTGTAAATTTAGGATAAATATTTAGTAAAAAATGAGGAAAAATGAGGAAAATTATGTCATTTTAGCATTATGTGTAAACCACCGGTATGGAATTAGAAATAAACCACGTTTAAATTATATTTCCCCCCGAGCCCCCTCCCCGATCAGTACGCCAGTGCCCCGCCCCCCCCCTTATCTACACTTTGTTGGCGGAAAAATCGCAACTGATCTCCCCTACCTTTCTTCTTTTTTTTTTTTTTCTTTCCCTTTTCATTCCCTTCCTTCTCTCTCTTTTAGGTTTGCTGGGGGGGGGGGGGAGGCAAGGTCCTTTCGGCCCCCATCCTTCTCCACACCTTGTTGGCGGGATTAACCGCAGATGATCTATTTCCCCTTCTTTTCACCTTTTTTTTCCTTCTTCCTCTTTTTTCGGTCCCGTTTAGCTTTCCTTTTTTTTCTCCATTTCCTTCCCTCCCATTTTTTTAACGGGGGCGGGGGAGGCAAGGGCCTTTTGCCCCACTCCCACCCCGATCCACAACCTGTTGTGGTTTATTGCAATATTGGAAAATTGCAACTGAAATTCTTTCCATTTCCTTCCTTCTCTCCTATTTTTCCGCCCTGATCTCCTTCTTCACCCTTTTCTTTTCTTCTTCCTCTTTTTTCTTTCCCTTTCTCTCCTCTTTCCCTTCTCTCCCTCTCTCTCTCTCTTTTTTTTTGCGAAATGGGGGGGGGGGGGGGGGGGAGGGCACAATTCTTTTTTGGGGTCCCCGGAAATTGGAAAAATTACGTTGTCAGATATTTCGTTCAGTGGCTTGGGGGGGGGGGGAAAGACTTTAAACAAAAAAAAACTTTCCCCTTTTTCCCAGGGGGGAGGGGGAGGGGGGAGGGGCCGGGCCCCCTAGATCCGCAACTGGCTGTAGGCCAAGATATCAAATGAGGCTATAATTTTGGCCTGGGGGGGGGGGGGGGCGGTATCCTGGCGAGTTTGAGTTTGCACTGTACATTTATATTTTCGAGCCAGATTAGTAACTCCATGTTTAAACAGATACTATTGGTATATCCATGCTCACCAGTGGATGACAAGAGAATCCCTTCCGTAATGGCAGCGCGGCGTGTTAGTTAGATCGTCATCGTTCATATTATGCAAGAGCCGCCAAATGGTTGGGGACAGTGCTCACCACAGATGCGCCACAGACACCTGTTGAAATTTAGTTTTGTTCGAATAGTTTGAAAAATTGTTCTTCTTCTTTTAATCTGTTATACATTTGCATAGATGTGTAAGTTGTCTAACCATTCATCAATGAAACATGAGCTTTCAGTGTGTTTTAAAGAAAAGCATAAATTCTTGACATAATTTATTTCATAGGAGTTTACGTGACGTAAAGGATGCCATGCGTGTAACATGTAACGCAAAGGTATCGTCCCGCGCAAGGATATGTCGCAGTGCGGCTCAGTAAAGCGGTCCATTGAAAGACTTGGCTAATGGATTTGATTTTGAGCTGTAGCGCCATATATCAACAAGCGAAAATTCCACACACAAATTCCACACACAAATTCCCATTGCATTCTTTACACGTGAAAACTATACTCGGATTTGTGTATGCGACCGGCCATTCAACTGCTGTATCCTGTGCAAGATAAGTAGAAGCTCTCTCTTACAGGTCCTCATTTTGCACTATCCAGTTACCTCTTAGACGAGAAAATGGTGAGTATTTTATTTGCATTGTAGCGAGTTTTAGTGATATTTTATCAGTTGATGCTAATTTTTGTTTTTTCAACTGCATGAAATGTTGAAATGTTAGATTTGTTAAATCTTTTTCATTGTGTTCCTGCCCCATTTGCGCAAATTGCAAAGGTCACCATGAACGCGCACGATCCATTTTTATTTTTGTAGGCCTACGTCTTAACGGATTATAATTAGCTTGATGATTAACGTCGAACGTCAGGTGTAACGTTTATTGCCTAAAATTGTTTTGTTGTGTTTAGAATACCTGTGGCTTGCCCTTAAACTAAAGCCTAGACTATAGGCTAAAGGATTTAGTCTCGGCCTTTCGCTCCGCGTGAGATTGGTCACTGGGCCTGGGTCAGTGGGTGTGATCATTTATGGCACAGGTGGCAGCTTAGAGTCGCACTAGTTTAGTGTTAATGTTAGTCTGTTGCTGAGATTAGAAGGCGGGACTATCGAGAGTCGAGAGGCTACCCACTAGAATCTAGATCTAGTAATAATACTATGCAGGACATGTTGGGTATAGACCCTAGATCTAGATCCATTTTAATTTTTAGGCAGAGTTATGTAATGTCATTAATAATAATGTTGAACTTCTCATTACTGATTTTCTGTATTCTGCCCAAACTACTAAAAAAAAGCCTGGAAAGACGATGGTTGTGCATTGATCGACATTGTTAAGGTAAGGGTTTACTTTAGGGGAAGGGTTAGGGAACAAATCTTGAAATAGGGTTCACGTTAAAGCTTATCAACACTAGTGTGGCTAGGACTCTTACTCTTAGGAGGGATTAGACCACACAGCGAGGTTACTGAGACAGGTGGCTATCTCATCAACTCGGCTCTCAAATAACAAAAGAAATAGAGGATCTTGGGGACCAACAGGCTCCGATTGGGGAAATTTTCTATATAGAGGGAGCAAGTAGCTACAAGTAGGACAGGGGGCTTTAACTCCAGGGAGCTGGAGCTCACATATATGAAAAATTCAAACGGCGGGTTGGGTACGTGGTACTTGGTAGGATTCCTCCAAAAGACGCCGTAAAGGTGTTTAAACTGGGTTACCGGTACATTATTTAGGATTGTAAAGAGTAAGTTATTACAATTTTGACTTGCAATGTTTTTTGACTCCTCTGGGCCGTCCAACTAGCTCTAGGGTCTACGTTCAAATTCTAATTTGAAGAGGTCTTTGAATTGATGGGGAAAAAGGGTGATTCTTTGTCCTAACCAGACGATTCATCCTGATGTATCTTCGATTCAACATTGCGAAGATGAAAATATGAATATGAAAATATGAATATTCATGAATAGAGCTTCGTTCGCTCGAAATTGCTGAATATGCACAAGGTCGAGGTCTCTTTTTCTTTGATTCATGCATATTCAGCAATTTTGAGTGAATGGCGATCTACTTTATGAATATTCATATTTGCTGTGCCGCTACCGCCTGGAATTTCAACACAAAGTTCAATTTCGACTAACAAAATGCTATTTTGGGATGTTCATTGGTTCATCGAACACACCAGTCCTGACGAAATCATGCATATTCAATCAATGGTCCAGAAAAATACATTGGTTCATTGAAGGATCATTCGTGAAACTCTTGAAAATTCAACAAAATGTTTGTAAAATGTACCAATGCATAATTCTTCAAAATGTTGACGAACACAGTCTAACAAAAAGAAGGTACGATCAAAAATAGTTTTTTTGGGGGGGGAAAAGAATAGGATTTTTGTGAAGTTGGGATTGGCAGATCTTATTATAAAACAGAAGTAACTGCAGCCAGTAAGGGGGGGGGGGGGGTTGGGAAGGGGCTCAAAACTTCTTCAAGCCCCCAACCCCAAAAAATCTTTGTCAATTTATTTTAGTGAGGGCTGCAAGAAACACATTCTAAATGAATGCTAGAACCCGAAACCCCCCCCCCCCCCCAAAGAAGAAACTTGTTACTGAACCATGCTTAACTGCTACTCTCTCAGATTCGGAGAGGGTAAAATGCCAGCAAGCGCAGTTCATCAAATCGACAAAGCTTAAACCTTACTGGAATTGACATTTCTATGAATTGTTAGGGAGGGGTGCTGGATTGACCTTTTTTTAGAGAAGTATTTCTGGGGAGGTTAAAAATGTATTGTTTAGGATTCGGATTATCATTCATGTCTGAAATTATTGCCTCGAGAAAAAAGGCCAACTGGCCAAGTAATGTGACGAAAGACAATCACTGTTTTTTTTTGCAGGTATGTTTCAATAAAATGTGTGTAAAAACAAAATGCTGCATGTTTAGGAATTGCTTCAGTGGATGTACTAAAGCAAACCATTAATCGGAAGTGTAAACAATGGAAAAATCCATAGTTCCATAAGAAGTATCTGCCCATTGAATAGATCTAGGAGTGCAGTGTATATATGTCCTTAATGTCATTTTGTTTTTGTTTTATACAGGCTGATCAACTCACTGAGGAGCAAATTGCAGGTAAGGATCATTCAAGTGTTATCCTACCTAGAGATGAGTTCTGATCCAGTCATTCCAGTGATCAGATATGAAAGAAGTTGTCTGGAAACAGGCACGTGTTTTATGAAAGAAACTGCATGAAAGTAATTGGGAATTTTGATAAGGATTAGAGTTTTAGGCTCTTCAAAATGACAAGAAATTGTGTTGCTAAGAGTCAGTCATGTGCATTGCACTTCAAATGTGTATTTGGGACTACACACATGACAATGAAAGTTTGGTCCAAACTTTTCAGTAGGCTGAGCTTTTCATATTGCAACAATGAGGGCATACAAAGAACAATCATTTTCAGGCTCTTTTTCTTTTATGCTGTCTCTCAATTTAATGTAACTTTGAATGATACATGTTCAACTTGTACAAGATAATTGATGATCAACAGCATTTCAAATGTTGATGTTTACTCACATGTTTCTTGTCTTCTTTTTCTTTGAATAGAATTCAAGGAGGCTTTCTCCCTTTTTGACAAGGACGGTGATGGCACCATCACAACTAAGGAGTTGGGTACTGTGATGAGATCACTTGGTCAGAACCCTACTGAGGCTGAGCTTCAAGACATGATCAATGAAGTGGATGCTGATGGTAAGTTAAAAGTAGAGAAATATTTGGCATTATTCTAAAAGATGTCTACCCATTCATGATCATGTGAAGCATACTAGCTGTAAAACTGCCAGACCTTTATTATTTTAAGTAGTATGGACAATAATGGGAGAAAAAAGGAACAGCAATTAATCTCCCGAAGTGTCATAAACGTGTGGAATGTTAAAAAGAAAAAAGAAAGAAATGTTGTCTTTGCACTCGATCATGCCATGTAAAATGTCCTTAAAGTGTTTTTTTTTTCAGTAGAATATTTCCAAAAAAAAGAATTTTACCAGAAATTCCTACTATAAAATATTTACTGATTGAATGAAACATAGTTTTCAAACTTTTTCCTGTCCTCCTTGATTGCCTTCATAAATGGACATGGCAAGAGCTCGACCATTGAATGTATTCCCAATGGAAGTAGGTCTGGAAGAAATCGATGCTTAGATGGTTGATAATTAGATTGCAATGACATCTGTTGTTTGGCATGAATCCACTATAGTAACATAATTGTGTTCATATCAAAGAGCCTTGATAGTCGTTAGTATCCAGATGATGCTAATTGAAATAATAGACGATTATACATTACTGCATATAGACATAGACAATTGTAAAGTATGTCCCAGAAAGTGTACTGTTCAGTGCGTGCTCCACAATAAATCAATATTTTGTATTATTCAGTAAACTGCCAACTGGCAGACCTTGAGTTCTGAATGGGTTGTCACTCATTCTATTGTTACTGCACTGCAGGACAAACTGTATCGTTAGTTATACTGTAGGAGGATAAGTTGCAAGTTCTATTCTGATTTTTTTTCCCCCTTCTCTAATCAATGTGGCTTTGTTCTCTTGTGTTTCATCATCCTCAATGCCCCAACCCTTCCAAACAAATTAGTACTGGGTTTGAAATGTGTGTTCTTCCATACTAGCCACTCATGTAGTTAAACCGTAAAAGGCTGGGTTATTTTCATGCTCTTAGCTGGAGCTAAAGAAGCTCTTTTATTATCTATTGATTGATGAATTGCCTTGTAAATGAAACACATAAGTTCTTAGTTCATATCTTCATCTTACTGTAGTAGTTTATATTAGTAATAATTGACTGTTTTAGTTCATATTTCAACTGGGTGATGCATGAGTAAATTATTTGATTTATTCGCTACTATCATTATTTCCTTCATGCGTCTGCAGGAAATGGAACGATAGATTTCCCAGAATTCCTCACAATGATGGCAAGGAAAATGAAGGAAACGGACAGCGAAGAGGAAATCAGGGAGGCATTCCGGGTATTTGACAAGGATGGCAATGGCTTCATCAGGTAATATTTTTGAGGTTGATAGTGAACCTGTCCTTTATTTCTGAGGGCACCAGTTGGCATGATTGAACATTGAGGGAGGGCCATTAAAGGTAAAGACCAGTATTGGAAACGCCCCAATTTCAACAAAAATGAAGTGGAAGCTCTTATTACCAATCACGTGAAAGAATGTTTTGACTAATACAAATACATGATGATAACAAATTTGCCTGGAAACCGATTACTAATTGATATATTTGGTAAATTAGTTTATCTATTGGGGTGTGATAGATATAATGCATGTGTTGCACACGTGTGCGTAGTCCCATATACATCTTTCTGTGTACGGTGCTTGTAACTTTTACCAAGACTGGGCCAAATTTCTTATCATTTTGATGATTCCGGAACCTTGCAGTACACACCAATACTTATATGCTAGATGATCAACCTTTTCTGATCGATATCACAACGTTTCTTTCACAATGCAATCGCATGACCAGAACTGATCTTTATCTTTAACATAAATTATTTACAAGAGCCCATTATATAAAAGACCAAAGTTGTTCAAATGGAGTTCAAAACTCTATATCAAAGCAATTTTTCACTAAGTCTATATTTTCATTGAATCATTGTATAGTGCCTGTGTAGCATAGAATTTCAACTGGATGATGAATTGTAGTGGTTTGTTTATAGTGTACCTATGATAGATCGGAGGCTTTTGTTTATAGTGCAGTTATTCACGTGTATAAAGTTCCGCCAATTTATTCACACTGCTGTGAAGGGTGTATTCATTTCTGTGAATCTTTGTAATGTTGCAGTTAGAGAGATGCATTTGATCTTCCATTAAGAGACGATCATTGATTTACATGACTAATGTTCTTCCCGCCACATATAGGCTCCTAAATCCCCAAATGTATCACCACAAGGACCGTTTATAATTTAGCTGAAATCTTTTTCATCTTCCATTTTAAAGGGACTTTGTAACATTGTTCAAATGAGAGATAGAGGTGCTAAGGTAGTGACTTCAATGCTAGATATACAATTGAAGATAATCTGAAAATTTGAGTAAAAACGGACCATTATTCATGGTACAAATTGAGAAAAACTGATCTGATCGATTCCTTAATTCTCCCATCTATATTATTTCAATTTAATGACATTTTAGGTGAATGGAAATTCCAGACATTTAAGTGTTGACAGATTTTTTATAGCCTGTTTTATGTCTTTTTTCCATAGAAAAACGGTTGGGAAAATTCAAAAATGGTTGGGAGAATTTACTGTTAATCACTGTTAGAGGGTGTCATACATAGACTCCTTCAAAGAAAACTATAGATATCTTTGTGGTTTGAGAATTTTTTCAGGATTTTTTGCATGTCAGAGGGTTAGTACAGTAGAAGGAATATAGTAAGTAACATTTTATACAAAAATTTAGCAATTTTTTCATCAACCTTCAACAATGTTACCAAGTCACTAAAACATATACTAATTTATTTTCCTTTCATTTTACAGTGCTGCAGAACTGCGCCACGTGATGACAAATCTTGGAGAAAAGCTGACAGACGAAGAGGTCGATGAAATGATCAGGGAAGCAGATATTGATGGTGATGGTCAAGTCAATTATGAAGGTAAACTTTTATATAGAAATATACTTGTTGGGGCATGAAAAGTGTTTATAAAAGGTAAATGTAGATTTAAACAAAAAATAATATCAGAAAAGAGATTTTTAGAAAGAACTTTCTGACCAAATGTTTTCTTCCTGTAGGCAACTGGTTAATATATGAAATTATGTATTAAATTCAGAGTTGTTACCTTGCAGATCTATAGGACCTATTTGAGCAGATGTTGGAAGAAAAAAATTATAAAAAGTATCCTACCCAAAATGTCCAAAATGTATTCCTTTGTGCCTTTTCCTTGCTTCCCTGTTTGTGCCCACTTCAAAGACCAGTTGAGCCCTATGCAATTCATATACTCTCCCAGAACAACAAACAAAGGGATATCAGGAGTTTTCTGAACAGGTCAATGAGGTATCTCTACATTTTTATTTGCCACGTGTGCTCATATGAAAGATATTGAAATGAATCCTTCAATATCAATAGCATTTAATTTTTATTTTTTACCCCCAAAAGTGCATGGGGTCAGAACCTGCGCCCCTCCCCTCATGTCTTGTTTTAGAAACTAGCAAATAACCCAGCCAGTTTAGGGTTTACAAGAGGAGACTGGGCCACACCTTGTCATTTGGTCTAGTTCTACATTTAGTTGGATTAAGTTCTATTCAGTCATACCTTATAGGTTTAGAGCCCTTCATATAACCTTGCAGCTGTAAGCAATCTATCTGATCTCTTATTTTATTTCTTTGCAGAATTTGTAGCCATGATGACTTCAAAGTGAAAACAGTACACAAGATCTTTCATTATTCACGTGCGTGCCACCTCCTACTTCAACATTGTCACCCGATCAACCAATTCCTCTTCTCTTCACTTCGACCGACCCTGCTCCCTTTTCTACAATGCATGTAGCATGGCAGTTCATTTATGTCAAGTGTATATGCTTTGAAGCAGCGCATTCCATGCCAACAACCTCCCAGCTTTTCCTACTGGCATTCATCAACCTGCTACTTGTCACGCTTATACCATGGGAATGTTCCTGGATGCTGTGTAATGTGTATCCCGCACTCCACCGTGCGTCACAGACCACCCTTTTAGATGCTTTCCCTTGTGCCTTGTAGCAATCCAAACAAACCATTCAAACAATGCGCGCGCATCATGTACAGTTGGAATGGCAGCAATATTAATGTTTAGTTTTTGTAATTATACTCTCCTGTATATAGAGGGCTCTATGATTATGTAGGGAGGTATAGTGATTTCCTCTTTCCTTTTAATTATTTCATGATATTGTTTTGAAAATTGAAATTAACAGGGTTTTGTTTTTTTGTTAATTTTGTTCTTGTTTTATTTTCCGGTTCTTGCTCTTGCAATTGCAATAACCATGTTTTCCTGCAATTTGTGTTGTTTTCGCAAAAGAGAATGTGAGTTGCTAAGAGCAGAGATTTTTGCATTCCATGATTTCATATTTTCTATGTTTTCCATAATTTTTGCGATCTTTCAAACCTGTTTACTGCATAAACCTTGAATTGGAGAAAAAATGAAATATATATGTTGCAAGCTTTTTGGTGGGCCTTCTGCAGAAAGTTTCAAGTATGCAAAGTAGCGTGACCATGTGGTTGTTCATGTAGATAAACCTCTGTGTCGTTGAGAAGAGAAGATGTTCACTTCTAGTAAAGTCTCTAAACGAAGTGATTTTATATTATTAAATGTGCCATTATGACATAAAATGCATGAATTATGCAAAGGAGCTGATAAAACAAAAGCAAGAATCTTGATGAATCCATTGTTCAATGGCAGCAATTGATTTCCAGGAAAAAAAAAGTTGAACACAAACTGACAGGTTTTTAATTCTCTATGGGTTTTGTACTTATTACTTCTTTGATGTTTTCTGTTTCTGCTATATTTTTTTTCCAAGACTTCCTGAACAGTCTTTCCTTAATTACAATTGCTTATAACATATTAAGTATATACGTAAACATTACTGATAGCGTGTACCTGGACATACATACATATTATACAGTAGTTGTACATATATAATAGTAACTGTAAGTGAATTCAAAAGTCGTACAAATTGGGCTCGGCTCACAACTCACATTTATATCTAGATACAAAAACTTGTACTCTGTTCTATTCAATAGATGAAGATACAATCATTAGCCAACTTTTATCAAAAAAATGTTCATATGCATGATTATTAATTATGTGGGGAGTAATCTGTAGTTCTGCAGTTTTGTTACCAATTTTCAAATATAACAAATGTATTATTATACAGGAACATGTATAATTAGAAGCAGCTCAACAATACTAATCATATACTATTGACATGTTAAATCTTGTGTTTTTGTTGTCATTTATGATTTTGATTGTATTTGTGTTCTCACTGTATGAATGCAGTTCTTTAATTACAGCCAGGCAATTCACAAACCCCCCTTTTTTGGAGAGTGGGAGGCAAATTTTACTGGCAATTACAGTATAGCCGCCCTCCTGTCCCTGTTTCCTTATTCTGTACGGGAATGTATCAATGGATTTGATTCTCCCTCTCTTGACTTATGCCAGTCCCCTCTCGTTCTTCTTTGGGGGGATGTAGGAGGGTGTTTCCACCCCTTTACTGATGTTACAGTGAATTTATGTCGTACCATGAACTGCATTGTGCAATGTGAACATGTGTGCGTGCGTGTGTTTTTGAGAGTAAGTTGTGAGAAGCAGAATTAGTGAGAACACGAATGATAGGGAGACGGAGAGAAAGAGAAAGAATTTTGTTTTCGAAATTCATGTACAGTTGTATACCGGTATGTACGTAAATGTGTGTAAATGTTGAATTATTTGATAATTTTGTAGAATACTACATTGACGAGTGGAATAATTCATACATTATTATGTCGCAGGGTTGTTAGGAGTACATGTACATCCATTCACAAATCTCTTCTAATTTATTTTCCTTGTCGCAGTCGTGGTCAAGCTCATATTATTGCTCGATGTGGCAGCAACAAAGTTTGTCGGTCGAGGTTTTTAATTGTAATGAAGGACAATACAAAGAATGCATTTATGAACTAATATATTGAGAATATGTTGTGTGCATGGTTGGGAAAACTGCTGCAGTTATTTCCTTCTTATTACCAACAAATTAATTCAACAATTATCAACCATTTATTAATGAGGGGGTGTGATGAACGGGATTGTTCATTTAAATCAGTTTAAAGTACAATCGTAAAATAACAATTGAAGAAGAAAACTTACTGTGCAGGAGTCCTGTTTATAAAGAGTAAGAAAAAGATATTTACATGATAAACACTGGATATAGATGGACAAGAAGAAGAAGAAGAGTATATTGTAGAGAATGGGATGTATATTTATTAGTGACGTGAATATTGGTACTACTTTTTGCTTTGTCCCGGAGAGTAGGAAGACAATGCAACTCTGCGGTACTTGGGTCACGACTGCTCGCCATGTACAATACATTAAAGAAAATAAAAGGGCAGAAAATATAGGAAAGGTTCATTACTGAAGTTCGTTATGCTCCTCCGCCTGCCACTTGTAGTTGTACACGCAAGCAATGATATTGAGAGTTATGCGAGCTATATCAGATTTCACAGCTTAATTGAGATGGGAAGCCAGGCTTGGCATACCGGGCTGGCCTGGGAAAAAATATGGCATACATTTTTTTTCCTTCCCGAATCGATTTATCTGGTGTTTTATAGGCCTGGTTTACTCGATCCAGCTGGAGAGGGAGATTTAATATATTTTGCCGTAAAGCCGGAGATGAAGATGGAGGGAAAGAGAGAGAGAGAGATGCAATGGCTAATAACTTTTTGTCCCAGGCTTGTTCATTCATCTCTCTCTCTCTCTCTCTCTCTCTCTCTCTCTCTCTCTCTCTATCTCTCTCTATCTCTCTCTATCCAGTCTCTCTTCCACCCCCCGCTCTCTTCCTATCATACCTCTTCTTTGGAAAGGGAGCTGAGCGATGATAACATTGTAATTTTCCCAGTGGCGTATTCTGAATAATTCAGGAGTGATACGGAGGGTGGGAGCCTGGGCCCTTTTCTTCTACGTGCGTTGGACAAAAGAATGCAGAGCTGCCAACTAGTACGGATTTTCCGTAATTGGTACGGAAATTAACGACCATTACGGAATGTTGTCTCAAATTACGGATTTAAAAAAAAAAAAAAAAAAAAAGATTTTTTTTTTTTTTTTTTTTTTTTTTTTTATAATTTTTTTAATGAATTAAATATGATTTATCGTAGCGAGTGCTGTGAATAGGAGCCATTTTTCATGATAAACTGTGTTGTGATGACCTGAAATTCAATACTTAACATCTTTGTGTGAGTAAAATCACCAAAAATTTCAGATAATCATGCGTCCGCGCAGTGTTGGCGTGTCGTTTTTTTAGATTCATAGCGCCGCATAAGAAATTACTGATTTATACCCCAAATTACTGATTTTGAGCCTTGTGATTACTGATTTTCTGTTCTGGAGGTTGGCAGCTCTGAGAATGTGTTCGATAGTAATTGCCCAGTTTTATGTATTGAGGGCTTTGTGCTGTTAAGTGCTGAATAGTCCACCCGAATAAAGGTGAGAACTGATTAGATAAAGCAATTATGGCCTAAATGAAGAAGATAACATAATTTCCAAAATAATTTGTCATTTATATATATTAATGGATAATAATAATTTTTTTATTATCATTATTGTTTTTCTTTTTCTTCTGGGGGGGGGGGGGGGCTAAAGTATTTCCGATCAGGTAGAGCGTAACGATCGAATGGGGCTCAGGGGGTTGGGGCTCAGGGGGTTTAGGCATTAAATTACGGTGAGAGGAGCATCCGAGGGCCTGCAGTAGGGTCCCTAATGGGGCAGAGCCCCTGAAAGCTCATGGGTTTTAGGCTTTAAATTACGGTCAGACGAGCAAATTTGTGACACTGGCAGGTCACCTTCCTTTCTTTGTTTCTATTTCTCTTTAACATACTGTTTCAGAAAAGTATTGTGGGGGGGGGGGGGGGGCTCGAGCTCTGACATTAATAAGCATATTTTTTGCCCGACTGTAAATTTCCAACAAACGCGTACAACATTTAAAAAACATTGACTCCATTGTTAAGTTTAAGATTGCTTTAAAGACTCATTTAATATTTAATTCATCCATTTTGTCTGTTACCCAGTACATCTTGTCTTTGTATTTTGTTGTGTTTTTCTCTAGAGCGCTTAGGGACATGTTTTAATACTATGTGTTATGCGCTATACAAGAACGGTTAATTATTATTTATTATTATTACAACTGTAATTTACGAACAAGTGGGAAAAACCGGGAAAATCATTTTATTTTAGCACTGGTATTGAATTAGAAATAAACCAGGTTTGGATATTTTTATTTTTATTATTTTTTTTTTATTTATTTATTTTTATTTATTTATTCTTATTTTTTTAAATTATTATCATTATTATTATTATTATTATTATTATTATTATTTATTTTTTTTTGGGGGGGGGGGCATATGAAGGGGTGTCTTTTTTATAGATTGGACGCGGTCCGCGCGGTGCCGCATTAAGGGGTTTCACAAACGTTCATGTTGGGCCATTTTCGAGAAAAAGGTTACTTTTTCTAAATGGTTCAAAATCCTGCTGTACGCGCCGGTATACGCGTTCAGGGGTATTTTTCTTTTCTTCAAGGGCCAGACCGGGGGGGGGGGGGGTGTAATAATGCCCATTGGCGAGACTCCCGGCCGGCGCCTGCGCTTGCCGGTCTTTAGATTTTCAGTAGATCAAGATGGATGCCCACGATACCGACCCAGACCTACCAAGTCTCACGCAAAGACAGGCATATAGCATAGCTGGTCCCTCATACTTTGTATAGTAGAACAGTCACTGTTTATTGTACATTGTGTACTTTTTCTAAACATATACAGGTACTTCACATAATATTGATCAAAATTGAAATGTAATTCTTTTTTCCAAAGAAAGGACTTATGATGTCTGCGCAGTAAACCCATTTGGAAGTGTAAAGGTTAATGTTATTGCATCTCTATTGAAATACATTTTTATATTGTGAGTTTTACATCAGAAGTGCAATTTTATTTATTTTACATTGTCAATAATTGAATGGTAATCCCGAGGCGCGTACGGGGGGGGGGGGGGGGTTAATCCCCCCTTCTTTTTTTTATGTGTGTGTTTTGTAGGAACCCCCCCCCCCCTTCCCCCAACGGAACGAAATGTTGATCGGTCAAATTTTTAAATATCGGGATTCTCCCAAAACAAAATATGACCTCTTACCCCTCCCCCCCCCAGCTTATTCAGGGGCTGGTTGAGTCGTTGCAAAAAAAATTGGACCCCCCCCCCCAAAAAAAAAAAAAAAAAAATGTCCTCTTTACCCCCTCCCCCCTCCCCCTTTTATTCAGCGACTGGCTGAGTCGTTGCGAAATTTTCGGCCCGATTTGAAATTGTTAACCCCCCCCCCCCTTGAAAAAAATCCTGCGTACGCGCCTGGTAATCCCTGTCGCACTTTAAAATGCTCAATAGGTTACAATTAAAAAAATACTTAATACTTATACACTTTTCTTAAAACACCCGTTTAGGGTGTGAATTCGGGAAAGAAAAAAATCACGCAAAATTCTCATTTAGGGTGTACTTTGGCTTCATAAGAAATCCTTGTTTACGGGATGTCTGGAAAACCTCTCGTCGCGCATGATCACATTATTTCTACATGACTGAGACCCTCGGGCTGCCCCCTCCCGAAGCCCCCCCCCCCCCATCAGTACGACAGTGAATATAATATACAAACATAATACAAGTGTGTGCAGGGGCGTCACTAGACCTTTTTCAGTGGGGGGGGGGGGGTGTAGAGGCCACTGATTATCGACAAAACTAGACACCAATTACCGACAAATATATTAATGCCAATGTCCCAATGTCTATAAATTTAACCATAAACCCGGGGCCAGGAGCTAAATTATTTAATTGTATTGTTTTCGACCCTTATTCCTTGTCTGAATTCATTCTCCCCCTCCCGTTTGACGTTTTATTAAATTATTAGAGAAAGAAGAGGTTTCATTAAATTATTACTCTTAATCATTGTCTGATTACAGTTATCTCCTCCTGCGCAAAGCGCAGAAGCTTTGACGTTTCATTAAATAATTACTCTTAATCCTTGTCTGAATTCAGTTTCGCCAAATCCGCGCTAAGCTTTGAAAGAAAGAAGACGATTCGTTGTACTGTTCTTTTCTCTTAACCCATGACTGAATTCAGTTTCGCCCTCCCGCGTAAAGCACGAAAGCTTTGACGTTTCATTACATTATTTCTCTTAATCCTTGAATGAATTCAGTTATCTCCCTCTCGCGCGAAGCGCGGAAGGTTTGACGTTTCATTATCATTAAAGAAGATGATTCGTTGTACCGTTCTCTTCTCTTAATCCGTGTATGAATTCAGTTGCCCCCTCCCGTGCGAAGCGCGGAAGCTTTGACGTTTCATAAACTTATTAGAGAAAGAAGACGATTCGTTGCACCGTTCTCTTCTCTTAATCCGTGAATGAATTCAGTTGCCCCCTCCCGCGCGAAGCGCGAAAGCTTTGACGTTTCATTAAATTGTTACTCTTAATCCTTGTATGAATTCAGTTATCTCCCTCTTGCGCGAAGCGCGGAAGCTTTCACTTTTCATTAAATTATTAGAGAAAGAAGACGATATGTTGTGTACTGTTTTGGATTCTTAATCCTTGTCTGAATTCAGTTCCCCCCTTACTGAGCGCGGAATTTTTGCCGTTTCATTCAATAATATTATTAGAGAAAAAAGCCGATTCGTTGTACCGTTCTCTTCTCATAATCCTTGTCTGAATTCAGTTTTTCCCCCTCCCGCGCGAAGCGCAGAAGCTTTGACTTTTCATTAAATAATTAGAAAAAGAAGACGATTCGTTGTACCGTTCTTGACTTTTAATCCTTATCTGAAACCAGTTTCCCATACGCGGAAGCTTTGACGTTTCATTAACTTATTAGAGAAAGAAGACGATTCTTGTTCTGCTTTCGACTCTTAATTCTTGTCCGAGGAATTCAGTTGCTCCCCTCCCTTGCGAAGCGCGGAAACTTTCACTTTTCATTATATTATTAGAGAAAGAAGACGATACATTGTAATGTATTGGATTCTTAATCCTTGTCTGAATTCGGTTCCCCCCTTACCACGCAAAGCGCGGAATTGTTGTCGTTTTATTAAATTATTAGAGAAAGAAGACGATTCGTTGGACCGACTTTTAATCATTGTCTAAACTTTTAAAAATATTCCTTTGACCGATAAAAAATCCCAGTTCGTAGGGAAAAAAAAATTGCCGGCCGACCGACATAATAATCTCACCGACCACCGACTTCAAACTTCTGCATCGATATAGTCACAGAATACAGGATCGAGCAAGATCCCGACACAGCGGACCCGACACAGCAACCGAATTATCTATGCGTATCTTTCTTGCTCCCTCGTTGTGGCGACTCCACCCAACATCTCCCTCTCTCTCTTACTCCCTCCCCTCTTCTCTCAGGCTTTTACCCCCGTCTATCTCCCCTCTCTTTAACCCCCCGTTACTTTTGTTTCCTTTTCCCTCTTTTTTCTTCTTTTTTCCTCTTCTTTCGTTTCCTTTTGTTTTCCTCTCTTCCCTCTTTTTCTTTTTTCTCTTTCTTTCTTCTCTTCTCTTTCCTTTCTTTTCCTTACCTTTTTTTCAGCAGCGCAATTTTACCGACAATATCTTGACAGGTGAAGGGGTGTTGCACCCCACCCCCCCCCCCCTTTAGCGACGCCCCTGAGTGTGTGCTTCAAAAGACTAGACTTCTATTTTATGAAAGTGTATTATTTTCGTAACGAAATTCTTCGGCCTTTTATATACTCGCGGGTACGGTGTCGATGTCATAATCCTAGAGATTTGTCTATGGTTATAACGAACTCGTACGCACTATTGTTCGCGCTTGGCGCTTGGCGCTCGAGCGAATTAACTCCTGGCGATGGAGCTGTTGTCTTCTATACCTGGCATCACGCTTCACCAAACTCGGATTCATAGGTCCATTCATAAACTCAGAGATTATTTCATTCAATTACTGCGGCAGGATACTTTGTAAAGGCCTGTGGCGTAGCGATATGCCGCAATGCGCAACAGTGATGTGTCACTGCAACACAAATATTGATTAGCGGTAAAATGTACTTGAAATAATGACAAGAGAAGTCCCAAACACTTAGTGGTATTTCCGCCCTCCTTTCCATCCTTCTTGACACGCTAGAGAATGAACCAATAATCAGTATGTTGATTACATGGGCAGAGGATCCGTGGAGGGCGAAGGGGGTAGGCCTGCTCCCCTCCCCCGAAAAAAATATATATGCACCTCTTGCCAGATAAAGGATGCCCTAGTCTGTGTAGGTGCGCCACATAAAATACACAGACTGCCCCCTCTTTTGAACAGTAGTTATAGTGATATTTTCAGTGTGATAGATGTTTTAGATTTTAATTCGAAAGCCAGACAGGTTTATCCCTATAAATTAAGGTGTACATTTTTGTCTTCAATTGACATCCCTAGATTTATGCCGTATTTGTCTGCTCTTGTGTTTTAATGACCAATGCTTTTGGTTAATAATTTGGCCCATATGCCTCTATTTAAGCATTTGCCTAAATATAAAGTGCTCGTTTTTCCATTACAGAACTTTTCTCCAGTCAAACTACAGTTGCGAAGTTCATCTGGTCTCAAAAAGATCGGATTTGAGTAAATATAAATATTATATGGCAGTTTTTTATTTAAAAAAATACCCTAATTCGCTGAGTATTAAAGTGTGTCACACTGCTCCCTGAGCTGAGGAAGCTTTCTTTCCGTCTTTAAGCTATACCCTCCACTCCCCGAAATATTGCATTTTGGTTCAAGTTGAAAAACCTTCCCAAACGAGGTATTTCTACTTATTTTCGACTTCCAGGGATGTCAACCACGCACTCAAATAGCTTGAGGAGTTATTACGTAACGAATTCCTGCGCACACAACTTTCGTTTCTCCTGCATACATCCATCTACAACGCGCCATCCGGCGAACGCATTGAACAATGCGACTGATGAATAATTGATGATTCTACTCTTTATTGAATCAGTAAAATTTGAATGGAGGGAAGGGGTTGAACACAATTATCGATTGTTGTTTTATTTGAGGTAGGCCAATAGGCACATGGTCACTGTTCAGGACCGTTGCTGTCGGGTTGATATAGGGGTCACTGCTGCATGACTACCGCAGTTTCAGAGAAGCCGTTGGTGAGAAGAGTCGCATTTCCAAACCCATACGGATATTCATTTTCTCTTTTGCCATCCCTTTTGACATTTTACTTCACACAAAATGGTGAGTGATAGATTCATATTTTCAATTAAAGCTGGTATCTATAACGTTAGACTTGACCAGAAAGTATGGTTCAGATATAAAGGCACTGCATGCGACTCCTGATGTATGTACTCCTATCCAGGGAGGTGAGACTTTAACTCACATGCCCTGGCCTATATATATCTACCATTTTGTTAAAACGGGTAGATGAAAATTGACTTTGCTACCTGTATGCTTCGGAGTATTTCGCTTTTGATGCGAAGAATATTACACTAATGTATATTAAGTACTTACTTGAGACACTCGCAGGTACAGGGTACGATCCATATTAAGATAATAATATTATTTGGTTCATTATTGACGATCGTATTCCATGTCAATAACTTTGCCATAAGATGACATACTGTATATATATATATATAAATTGGATTCGAAATTAACCTTTTACTGAAGCAAATTTCAATTATCTATCCCTCAAAAAATGCATGTCCGACTAGTAATATCGGTAATAACATCCTAATTTCAATGACATCTTTTCTTTCTTAATAATTTGTTCAGGCTTCTGAACTCACAGAGGAGCAAATCGCTGGTAAGTTGCACATACATTCTTCTATGATGGAATTCATTCTTTCATCATTTGTAATCTAAATTGGAGAAGGATAGATTGAGATCTTTTGTCAGATCAATACAACTACAAAATAAGAGTTTATTGTTCACTTATTGCTATGCAACGCAAGTCGACGCTTGACGCGCTCAGAGATAATTAGGATTATTATTATTTTTTTTTCATTAGCATTTAAGCCAGGTCCGTCACACATGGGCTGGCGAACCAACGTTATGTATTTTTCAAAGCGTTCGATGACTTTCCCTTCTTGCCTGAAACCAAACTTATTTATTATGACAATTTTGGGACAACAGAAACTGGCGTTCTCAACCTCACTTTTGAACGCCATATTCATGGACCAAACACTGAGACGGTAGACCGTAGACCCCACCCCCACTGCAGAAAGATTAGTTTAAATGGTAGGAATGCATTGATAATCAAGAATGGAAATAAATCCACAGAATAATGATACTACTTTATTGTACAATGAACTCGGCAGGGCCTATATAGCCACTGAAGACTTTGTTCATTATGATATTAAATCTGTGGAAGGGCTTTAAATATGACTTAATTTAAGTGCATTTTGACCTCGTTCTCTCCCTGTAGAATTCAAAGAGGCTTTCTCCCTTTTTGACAAGGATGGTGATGGCACCATCACAACCAAGGAGTTGGGTACTGTGATGAGATCACTTGGTCAGAACCCTACTGAGGCTGAGCTTCAAGACATGATCAATGAAGTGGATGCTGATGGTAAGTTAAAAGTAGAAAGGTGTACGTGAGATTATGAGGAAAATTCATAGCCACTTAAAGATTGCTGTTTATATAATTATAAATGAAAAATGCAGTGTCATAATTATACACGATTTGGAAAACAAAATGTGAACACATTGTGATTCACCTCTGTATTCACCTGTATTTACCTGTCTTTTCGGGCTCCTTAGTAAGACAATGTCTTGTAATGGTATGATTGCGGTCTCATCCTGCACTTTTTCAACTGATAAGTTTGGATAATACTTTAAATTTATAATATGTTTTAGAAATATTAGGTTTTGTTACTAGTCTATATGTACATATGTAAAAAAAACCAAAAAAACATTGATATGAAGTTATTATTGTTTGTATATTTGTATTATACCTTACGTTTAGATGTTGCTATTCTGTTAATATATTTGGGTAAATGCAGAAATAAAGTTAAAAAAACAAACTGTCTTTGGACTAGCAACTGGGAGAACTGCAAGATGCTTTCACCAAGTGTATTTAAAATGTAGATTTAGAAGACTTTTGTGGTATTACCAGTGCGAACACGCTGTCTTCATACTGTTGTCATTTTGTGACACAATCGGGCATTCTGTGTGGCCACATAAAAATCAATGTGAACACACCATGTTTACACATGTTGTCAGAGAGAACCCACACAAAGAACCAATGTGTTCGCACCGTAATCCACTTACAAAATGAATAAGGAATAAGATATTGACAGTGTGATCATACTAGCCTCACACCATTTTCCAAACACTGTGTTCGTTCAGATCGGGGTGATTGAGAAAGATGTCATTTTGTACCAAAATGAATACATTCTTGTTCAATTTGCCTGTTTTAATAGGTAATGGCAATATCGACTTTCCCGAATTCTTGACGATGATGGCTAAGAAGATGAAGGAAACAGACAGCGAAGAAGAGATCAGAGAAGCTTTCAGAGTCTTCGACAAGGATGGAAACGGTTTCATCAGGTAAGTTGGACAGCATTGGTGAGAAGATCACCTTTCATTCAAAATATAGAATTATTGGATGTTGGTACAACATTTGATTAAAATCAGTAATTCAACAAATGAGAAACATAAACGTCTTGTATTAAGGTACCACTCAACAAATTTATCCGAATTTGAGTTCGAATTCGGGTAGTTTTTTTAAATTTTACTCTACAAAAAGAGAACAGAATACAAATGTGTTTGTGTGTGTGCATGGGGAGGGGGGGGGGTAGTTGTACTTTTCACTCAAGAGCGCTTTATCTGACGTTAGAATAAGTCTAATAGTGGTACAAATGCAACGTTTGTTTGCTCCATTCATACATTGATTGGCGTCAAGGGGGGGGGGGGGGTCACAAAACTTTCTTTTCTAAAAATATGTGCCTTATGATTTGAATTGAATACAACAAATTCTCTTTACATAATGTTGTTTTTGATAGAATAAGCATTGAGTCGAGTAGCTTTCAAAAGTTGGCACTGCACATCTTGTCTCTATCTTAAGAAATCAATGACAAATCAATACTATTTGGAAAGGCTATTAATGTTTGACCTTAGAAACATATAATCTGACCTATGAACAATTCTTGCTGGCTCGTTTAGCGCTACGACGTTAATGACACATGTTGCATCCTGGAACTACTTTATTGCATCTTATGAACTAATTTATTCTAGGTCCTATGGCAGAAACTATTTTATTGTAATGCAGACAATATCGCAATATTGCATTGCAGAAATTAGTTATATATCTGAATAGTTGGATTCCTATCTGATAACTAAATAAATATACCTTACCTTTTTTCCCCCTCAAAATGTCAATTAAATCCTAAAACACATCATGACCTGTCCATTTTATGAAAAAAAATATTGTAAACAATTACTCATAATTATATAGCAATAAAATCAGACCCCTTTTGAAGGGAGTTCAAAGTCGGACAGTCGAACACATATTCCATCCCTTAGGTAAATAGAATATTTAGGTTTTGTTTTTATTCATCGTTATTTACAATACAGCAATTTCTCAGTGGATGTTTAAAAGTCACAAGTAAAAATATGCCAATCAGGATGTCCAGCACATTCACATAGACCTAAGAACTACACCCTGTTCCTCATCCCTGGTCAAGTGTTATATGGAACTTTGATTGAAGTAAAGCCGTTCGAGAACGTGTGATTTCTCTTTTTGGGCGAGTCATTTGCACAACTTCAAACTATCGAGGGCTCTTCCTTTTGGAAGAAAAAGTTATTTCAAAGATTTTTCTATGGCCGTTTTCTTCCCTGATCACAGCGCTGCCGAGCTACGTCACGTGATGACAAACCTTGGTGAGAAGTTGACAGACGAGGAGGTCGATGAAATGATCAGGGAAGCCGATGTCGATGGTGACGGCCAGGTCAACTATGAAGGTAATCATACAAATAAGGACGGAAAAACCCATTATAGTTTACTTTGGCGGTATAAACATAAAATGTAATTTTGTATAAACATAACTTTAGACCACTAGTGGTTAAATCTAATCATTTGGACCCGTTTTAATTGAAATTCAATGTCATATAATAGAGGGCATTGTATAAAGAGAAAGAAGAGTTTTTTTCCTTTTCCTATACAAGATTAAAATTGCTTGGCGTGATAAAATGATACTATATTATGTTTACCCAGGCGCGTACGCAGGATTTTTTCGAAGGGGGGTTTTAAAATTGTCAAATCACGCCGAAAATTTAGCAACGACTCCGCCAGCCGCTGAATAAGCGGGGGGGGGGGGGGGTGGTGATAAGAGGACATATATATATTTTTGTTTGGTCCCATTTTTTTTCTTTTTTCTTCTTTTTGGATTAAAAAAAAATAAAAAATGAGGCGGTTTTTTCCCCTCCAAAACACACACATAACAAAGTTTGAGGGAAGGGAGGGGGGGGGGGGGGGTGGTTAACCCCACCCCCTGCGTACGCGTCTGTTTTTGTAGCTTCATTGTAATCGTTTTTACCGTTCGGATACAGCAACTTTTTGTGAATGTGATATTTCAGAATTTTAATTTCACTTTACTCCTGGGACATTGACAAGGAAATAAAACGGCCTCGTTTTACATAGTATATTCCTGAATCAATAATGGCTAAACTTAACTCCCATTGTCTTATTTTTCTCATTGTATTTCTATCTTAACAGAGTTCGTTTCAATGATGACCAAGGAATAAGCGATCGCGATGATATCTATCATGTCTATAAAGAACATTTTTACATTTCTATCACCTTGAAAACCTACTATTTGAACCATTATTATGACGTCACTTAGTATGGTTGCTATTTTTACACCTTGATTTGAATTCGTGCCGGGATGTCGACACGAATGTAAGCATCATCATTTTGACCAGTTGGGGGCCACATACATGTGGTACTGTGGATTGATACGGAGTAGCAGGCGATTCAACTTAGTCTACCCCAATTTTTGTAAGAAACCCAGCGTAATTTCCGATAAAACTAACCGTGTAATATTCATGTCTAAGAGCTAATTTCTCGAACAATGAGTAGATGAAATCAATGTTATCATGTTATTGATACGGATCATGTTCAAGACACAAAGTTATCTTCGTAGAACCTGTACAATCCTTATTTTGATTAAAGACTATTCAGTTGACGAAAACATCTATTCAAAATCTAAAAGCTGTACAATCTTCATTTCGAAATCCTCTTTTCAATGTAATTTTCGTACTTGATAAAGTATAGTTCGTGGAAACCAGTGTAAATAAGATGAATTTCTTACCGTCAAGTATATCGATTCATCGTCATTTTTATGTTATGTACATGTACATTTTCGAATATCCTACTTTGTCGTTTTGTTTTTTACATTCCTTTCCATAAAATGAACAATCAATTGTATTAACAAAATAAAAAGTTGTACAAATATTAAGTCTTTCTCCATGGGCATAATAATTATGTTGATCTCGGTGAAATAGGCATAATGGAGGTGCAATCAATTTCAGTGATGAAATTGGACGACTGCTATATGGAAGCAAATGGTTGTAGCTTGTGATGTTTATTGCAGCAATGGTCATAGTGAAGCTGATGCTGCTGCTGATGATTATGATTATGATGATGATGATGATGGGGATGAGGACGATGGTGATGATGATGGTGAATATGATAATGATGGTGATCACAATGACTATAACGATAAGAAAACGATGACGATGAGGTGGTTGTGATAGTGATGATGATGTGATTATGAGGAGAGAGAGTCGGATATACGGGTAAAGCGGAGGAGCACAGGGAGAAAGAATGGAGATAGAGAGAAGAATTCGGAAGAGGTGGGGTGGCTTGATATGATCCGTAGTGCGATAATACTGGAATAATATAATTGCCTAATAATTATCGTAATTTTTAAAGCATAAAATGGTGTCTGCAGTATAGAGACGGGACAATGAATTAATTTTTATTCATGTAAATACAATTTTATTGTCTAGTTTCACTCTTAAGTCGGTTTTGATGTATCATGTATCATGATAAGTCGTGTCAGATCGAGAATGCATCCATAACTAGGTGTATTAACATACACAATTATGTTGTGGATGCCCGCACCACTTCTCGAATAATCCTCACTATGATCACTTTGAATCAGTCAAAAAGTGAATTTATCACATCGTCCACCCTTCAAAGGGATTGATATAGTTTTCATTGAAAGCGATTACAATTGTATTAAAGCCGGGATTAAAGCTCGCAAGCTGGAGGCGGAATGATATGCTGCAATGCGCAAAGGTGATATGCCCCGGCGAGGCAATATTGATTTGGTGTTTATTGGAAATTATTGATGTGAGAATGAACAAACAATGGCAAGAAAATACACCAACCGTTTGTCATTTTCGCTTTGTAGAATTAAAACACCCTTGAAAGGGATTAAAGGTACTATGCCCCATTAATTTTGCAGGCCAAAAAAAATGAAATTGTTAAATTCCAAAGGCATCTGAAAGACAATACTAATTTAGAACTTTCCTAAAAAAAAGGGGGGCTTGAAAATGTCTTTAGGTGGGAAAAAAAATCGACTAACAGTTGTCAAATCGACTTGGGAGCTAAAGAGCCAGTAAGTAATAGTCTGATTTTTCAGACCATTATTTGTACCGAATGGTCGTCGTTCTATGCTGCGCAAAGATTCAATCAGTTTAATTTTTGCCATTACAAGAAGTGGGTTATTGATGTAGACTAATGCTCATGTACCCTTTACAGCTCATTTTATGTAAAATATTACCAAAGATGAAAAAAGCCAGTAAGTCACTCAATATTGTCTGACAGTGAAGTCTAGCAAGTAAACGGGTTTCCTTGCATAATTTGAACATTAGGACACTGCTCAAGTTTAAATTCACAGATAGGACAAACATGTAGATCTCTACATAACATATTCATAATTTCTGCAAAGTTCTACATAATTTGATGTTGGCTGCAAAAGGGACATAGTATCTTTAAAGGGTCACTAAATTGCAAATTCATGTGGACTTTTGTTGATCTGTAATAATGTATACATCACATATCTTTTGACTGTTTGATGTACATTTATGTCATATAATTTATATTTTTAATTTAATTTTGTTCTACCTGCTAAGCAGGGGAAAAAAAAATCTTTTTCGGGGGCTACTTTTCAAGCTTTCCTGCATGAAAATAACATTCTAAAATTTGTTTGCATTGATCTCCTTGCAAATTTACAGGGCTCTTTTCTGATTTTCGGGGGCTCTTTGGGGCATTTCGGGGGCTATTTCGCCCTGAGCCCCCGTGTATTTTTTTCACTGCTGCTAAGCTCCACCCCTAAGAAAACCCCTCCAAAAGCAAATGACTTTTGTGACATCATCATGCCAGTCATTTATCAGTCAGCTAGATGAACAAAAGACGTTGGTATGTCCCTTCCCATCAACTGACAACCTGTTCACAATAGCATTGCATGTTTTTATACAATGCCCACTCACAAATTCAATTACATTTTAAGCAGTTGCTTGTCAGAAACCCCAAGCAACACCATGAAACGAAGGGTTTCAATGGGCTATTATATGAAAACATGCAATGCTAATACAATTAAAGGTACCCAGTGGGTGAGGACATACCACCGTCTTTTGTGAACAGGTGGTCAGTTGAATACGCAATTACTAACATTTGAATACTTTAGACCTCTGTGAAGACGTTTTATTCAAGAATTCCAAAAACATGTATATCTCTTAGAAGGAAATAATGTGGTATTTCGCAAATTCTCCGAAGTAATGAAATTATCACGTTTGGAATTGTTATTGTAAGGGTGTACAATAATTATTGTATGTATCTCAATGATGAGATCACAGACAATGATGCTGATCTATTACTATTGAAATCTCTGAAGTTTCCATAATAGGGGCTTTAGATTTGCACGACGGAGAACATGGACTGCCCTTTTAAGGCAATGTGACGTCACTGCCAGTGCCTTAAAAGGACGTCACATTGCCTTAAAAGGGCAGTCCACGTTCTCCGTCGTGCAAATCTAAAAGTCCCTATTAAGCGTCCGTTGCAACACAGTATGGCTTATTTCATTCGAAAAGTTTTATGTTTTGCGTGTATTTATGTATCTTTTGTGAGATCTTTAGATTTAAATAGTATACACAGCAATTCCATTCATTAAATGCAATGCACCGGTTGTCATTTCGTTAGTAACACATTGCATAACAATTTAGACCGAAACCGGCCACGCGTGAACAAAACAGAAAAAAGAAAACAACAACCGCAAAATGAAACATTTAAAGGTAAAGACCAGTATTGGAAACGCCCCAATTTCAAAACGATGAAATGGAAGCTCTTATTACCAATCATGTGAAAGAATATGTTTTGACTAATGTCATGATGATAACAATTTTGCCGGGAAACCGCCTACTAATTGATATATTTGGTAAATTAGTTTATCTATTGGGATGTGATAGTTGTGGTGGTGGTAGTGATGATGTTGGCAATGGTGCTTGATGGTTGTGGATGATGTGTTTGGTGGTGGAGATGGTGATAGTGGTACGTGGTGGTGGTGGTGGTGGTGGTGGTGGTGCCGGGTGGTGGTGACACTGACGCAATGTGATGACAGAGATAGCGAGAGAGATGCATAGATGCATACAATGGTATATGAATATCATTATAACAACAACGGGAGATTAATTATAAATACCAACTATATAATAATTAGATTCTGTGAAGAATTATTGCGATGTATGTGTTTTCTGAGAGTACTTTTTTTACTATGTGTTTTTCGGTGCATGTAGACAAAATGAGCGTTGGTGTGCTTAGCCCAGACACGGCTATTCACTAGGTAAAGGTTTATTATAATTGGCTGGAATTAATTCGTTTGTATCCTTGCCTGCCATGCCCTTGTGCTCGCCCGCAATATAATGATGATTGGGAATTATACCATGCATATGATTTCACGGTATAACCCATGGTATAACCAGGGAGGTGAAAGAAAGGAGGCGAAACTCTTGTAATTTATTCAAACGCATTCGTGAGTTCTAAAGCGTAACAATGGGATGTGTACGATTCCACTTGGCTTTGAAGTTCAATGCTCCGAACCGCGCTTCCACTGCGGGGACTTTCGGAAGCCAGGCACCAGTTTCACATTTATTACACAATATTAAATTACCGGCAAAAATTTAGTGAAAATCAAAAACTTTATATGGGGATTGTATTGGGAACAGTGCATCAAACAAATTTTCAAATTTAGTACTCCGTCCTTCCTATAATTTGTGTGCCAGAGTTGTTGGTAAAAGAAAACTTACATCCCTGACAAAAACTCAATATTTTAGGATAATGCGCTAATTTGTGCATGTTTTAATGTCCCGTTATTTAATCCATGATTTACAATCTTCAATAACATTAAGTTTGCTAATGCGTGTTTTCGCGTGTTTTTTAATATTTGGAAGTTAAAAAAAGGATGAAATTACACGAGTTTGTGTTCGCTTGTTCTATTCTTTACACTTTCAACAATGGATGAGAAATTGAAAGGGACAGCGAACAGTCGCAGTGATACCATTTTCTGATAAGAATTCTAAATCCTGAAATTTCATGCGCTCTTTTATCTCACCACGTGTTAGCGCATAACTTTTCGGCGGCTTGGAGCATGGGGTCAAGATGGAGAGAGAGAGAGAGGCGCGGGGGGGGGGGGGTACTTTTACTCTCGGATCATGCTAGAAGCTGATATTCAGTGCGTCCCAGAACAAAATAACCCCCAAAACAGACGGATATTGTGAACAGACTATAATATGATTGCTTGTTTTTCGTAAAGTAGAAGTAATACGCTATCGCAATTTAACTATATAAATGGATGGCATTAATCCATACACGCTTCACCGAGCAACATTTTTTTGAGAATGGAAAGTACAAATCCATTTGTGCCACATTTGGGTGAAACAGTGAAC